TCTACCGGTAAATCATTTTTGGGTCCTTTGTCTTCTACCGAGACAGCGAGTGCATCTCAGGCAGCAATATCGAAGACAGTGTGGCGATGCATGCCTAACACAAGTTGGTAGAAACGACCTGTAAATTGCTACATGATAGCCAACGAGTGGTGCTGCTAGCAGAAGTAGGATGCTATCAGTCAGCTAGCATCTCATTCGTACAAACGCCGTTTCCGCACTCTTGCAACATCTTGAACTTCGTCACGATCGAGCGAGCCTATCACAAGGCTACCAACATCCGCCATGCTATCAGCATCACCAAATCGTACTTCGTAGTTGTAAAGTAGTCTAGCGCGATTGGAGGCATCTAGGTAAGTGCCTGTTTGTGGTAACGACATGTGCGGGTTATTTCGTGTCGCAAGTGACGATATGTTCATCGCCACGTCCACTCCTGTGGCGAAGAAGTGACGAACGACCGGGGCGACGAGGCTTGCAATGATGAGTACGATTGAAGCGAGACATAGGGCGATGACCCAAGCACGATGGGCCACGATGACCTCTTCACGCTTTACCTTCGTTATTTCACTTGTCCAGGCTCTCGTCTGGAATATCTTCTTGAACGGGTTGCTTAGTCTAGTTGAGTCGTACAAATGTTCCCATGAGCCATTCACGTTGGGTGGGAGCTTGAATGTCTGTTTGTTGTCCCAAAAATAAGCGGTATCGTTGTTGATACCTGCAGTAATGGCGAAGAAGCCGTTCAAGCAAGAGAAGTAAGTGTTAAGCATTTGGCCAAGCCGGATCGTATACTTATCTTCTGTTGTTTGAGATACCTTGGCAAAGTTCGAGTTGATCAGATCTGGATCTGCAAGGTATCGATCGAAAAGTTGTGGTAAATTAACCTTTCCATTGGTAAATGGCTCAAGCATACCTTGGAAAAGGAGTTTCGGTGGCCGCCAAGAGATGTCCAGCAGTGTCCAAGCAGCTGGATAGTGGTCCAATCTCGATCGGCGTATTCTGCTAGCTGCACAGGTCGACGGTGTTGGGCACCGAACTTCAGTTTCCACATATGACTGTGTTATGTCGCAAGTAAGGGTGAAATTACTGCGGTACGTCGGAACGTACTTGATCCTTAGCGGCAAGGCTTCCTCCGGCAACACCCTGTCCCTCCAACTGTCCCGGCTGACGTTATCAAGGTTGGAAATATTCCAATAGAGTATGGAACTAAAGCTAGTCGCGTTTGATGCCGACCCAGGAAGTACTTTATCGTCGATCGGATCCCTTTCCGAAACCGTAGTGTTCATAGAACATCGCAGACTAAAATATGGCGACTGTATCTGCATTGCAAAGTCGATGAAATTCGATTGGTTCATGCCGAGGATGGGTATGCCAACGAGAGACGAGTACGCGTCGCTATCACTGTTTTTGATCTCGTACCAACCATCATGATCCATCGTAACGACGTTTTCGTAGCCCTCGATTCTGGGCACCTTGACGTTGCCCCATATATCAAGCGGGGAAGACTTCGTCTCTGGAAATCCCATGAGCGCGGCTACGAATACCACACCCGCCATCGAATCGCCTTGGATCTCCGTCTCCGCGGAAGAGTAAGCACCGAGATATCCACTATTAACTATGTACCATAAGGAATCATTTATCTTAGTGTCCTTTGGGCCGATGGTCATGATTCTGACGGAGGCTTGACCGCCAATCGGCGATAACGACCACAGGACCAACAGCGCTACCCCTAGTATACTAACTGTGCGAAGTTGAAGCTGCGAGATCACTGTGCTTGTGAGTGATGTACTACCAGCGAGTGTGTCTAGTATGCCAATCCGTCCGCCTCGCTCAAGACGCCAGAGCAGAATAGCATGCGCCGCACGGCCGATGATTGAAGCGAACAGGATCGGAAATACAGTCGGGCCCTATAGAGAGTCAGCTACAGGTTTCGAAAATGACATCTAGGGATACTACATATTTGGTAGCCCTCAGTAATGTCGTGGTCAGACGTGGGTAGCCTGCTACTGGGTCTTGGTCGTGTATATTGACGGCGATTGCAAATGCAAGAAAGGCAATCGAACAGGCAAACAGAAGAACGTCGAACACACCATTGAGGAATTTGACGTAGATTGGTGTAGTGATAGGCTTTGGTGGATACGGCCAGCCTGCGATCATCCTTGATGTCTTCTCTCGGTGCAACGGAGCTGTGGCTAGTGCACCATCATGGCTGGTACGTAGTGCCATGTTGTCTGCTACCGTGGAGCCTGTTGAAAGCTGATCCGCTAGTGTCTCATCTTCTTGCTCTACTAGAGACACGTTCGTGGTGTCGCGATGCTCATCAAGGTTCGATCTGTGGTCTGTCGACAAGGCGCTAAATGGTGACGCGCCGCGTTGTATGTCGATCTCCTGCTCCAGAAGAGCTAGTCTTTGGTGTTCTCTCTCATCCGACGTGATCCAGTAAAGATTTGGCTGATGTGTAGACATGACTGCAAGACCTGAATACGATGCGCGATGGAACCACCAGGTTAGAGCTGCACCAGGGTAGAACTGGAAGATGTCCTTCACGAAGTAGATTTCATCTGCCACATAAGCGGCACGGCCTCGAACATGTTGCTCAGCCTCGCGTCGCCTGATGCGACGCGGTACTCAGCCTTGTACAACGTCGAATAATGCGACATGTATGCAGTCACCAGGATCAGGTACACTGATATCTAGGGATTCATGGTAGTCATTTAGGTTCGCGTTAGCGCTGACATCAATCCTGTGGCACAGTTGCTGGCTGCTCTCTGGACGGTGCCTAGGTCGCACAGTATCGAATTGCTGAACGGCAGCCTCAGGCAATGCTGCCAAGTGCGTTGACCGGTTGCAACAGCGGGGATTTGGGGGCGTGATCCATGGATAACAACTACGCTAATCGCGTTGCAGAACTTTTAGAGACGCCGTTGGTCGGCACAAGAGTGACGAGGCTGCGTTCCTCGGCTGCTGCCTAAAATAATTACATCATGGTGGCAGATCGCAGCCCACTACAATACGTTATTAAGATACTACAGAGCTGTATCTAAATACTACGTCTCGGGGATTGCACTGTATAGTCGGCAAAAAGGCGAGCAATGCTAATTATCAGTTCATCTCTGTCTAGTCGACTTTTGCATTCGCAGCCTAAGCCGGTTGGTCATTACAAGAATACAAACGCATCATGTGTATCCAGGCGCCTACCATGATTGGGTGCGCAAAGAAAGCTGAGCTTCGCTTACTGAGTGGTGCAGCGGACCGTGGCGTAGCCAGAAATGCAGTAGCTACCCAACCAATTTTCCAAAATCGTCCTACCCGCTAATAATACAAAGGTGTTGTTCACCAGCCGTAATAATGCCTTATCCAGACGACACGAGCCATTATTACATCACGCGCGATGAGAGTCTATCTAAGAGTTGGTTTCATAAGCTTCCGGTGCTCAGGCGATACGATTCAGACCCAGTCCTAAGCTCTCTCTGCTCAGGATGCGACAGCCTGGATCTTCCTGGTATCGTTGCCCGTATGCGAGCCGACTCTAATGTGAAAACCGTTGCGTTGCCTCCTTGGACAAACTCTGCAGAGATTCCCATGAATGATGGTGCTTGCGCATTGTGCACAATGTTCACAGCAAACTGGGATCGTGGAGGGTCCATCGAAATCAGGTGGATGGAATCAATATATTCCGGCGAAACGAAAAGGTTCTCTTCGTGGTCTCCGGCGGCTGTGGTGTTTTACGATCGGGGATGGGCGAAAAAAGCAGTATTTGAGATAATCCCGACGCAGGATAATCACCTGGACTCTATGTCGCGTTCGTTACAACCAAGCTCTATTGACTTCGACCGAATACAGCTCTGGTTGCAGTCCTGTTCCAACGCTGACGTGGCACCACAGCCTCGTCAAAAGACGGCCTATTTGCCAGGATTTCGTTTGATTCACTGCAGATCACGTGAGATTACCAAACCTCCACAAGAGTGTCGTTATGTCGCACTCTCTTACGTGTGGGGCAAAAACCCACTAGAAGAATCGCAAAGCCAGCTTTTTCCGCGGACCATCGAAGATGCTATCAAAGTTTGCCTGAAACTTGGATTCGAATACATTTGTACGTTTGGTCAGCTACGAATGGATTTGAGCAGGATTGAGCTGACTATGCTTTTTCTCGATTTGTCCAGGGATTGATCGCTACGTAAGTATGCCACAAAGTTGCTCACAACTACCGAAAAAAGTTCTCACCGAGGCAGTGTATCGATCAAGGTAACTATGAAGATAAACACGCCCAGATTAGCCAGATGGACGTCATATACTCTGAGGCATCATTGGTTATTATAGCTGCAGCTGGCAATGATCCTACATACGGACTACCGGGAGTGGGTGCTCAGGCTCGCACGCCTCAGCAGTCGTTCAAGTTAGAAAATTGTACATTGCTACAGACGTTTTCGAGAGTGCAGGATGAACTCAAAGCGTCGGCATGGATCAACCGTGGATGGTGAGTTTTTAACAGCGTGACCGGCCAAGCGTGGACTGATTCATTGCAACCTCGTCAGGACATTGCAAGAAGGGTACTTTGGAACTCGAAAGCTCATCTTCACCGACTACCAAGTCATATACATATGTAAACACGGTTACTGCAACGAAAGCGTTCACCCACGAATTATCTGGAATCCAGATCTGGTTGGGTGGTGCCTTGCAGACGAGCATGAATGTGGCCGTCAACGTAACCAACGGTTGTTGAACTCTTACTTTTTGTTCGAAAAAGGCCAGATACAGATGACCACAGTTGTAACGGGATTAACCAAGTGCAAAATCATTGAGGAATTCACAAGGAGAAGTTTATCGTATGACGGCGATGTATACAACGCCATTTCTGGAATTTTCAGTTCTTGGTCGAAAGCAGAGCCCTCCAATACGGTAGGCCATATATGTGGTGTACCAGTTGGGGAAGACGGGCTGAAACTCGAATGGACAGGTAATGACCATACGACGACCCCGCGAAGAAAGGGGTTTCCCACCTGGTCATGGCTTAGTCGAAAGGGTCCGATTACTTTCTCACGTACTCTGCTTCTAGCCTCCATCTCCGTACAAACACGCAGCGATATTGATTTGGAGGCAACTTCAAAGAGGGAGACTATGCCATCGGAGGCGCTATGGATTTCGATTGCAGAATGTTCAAATCGAAGTGATCTTCGAACTCAGCCCTCCGGCACTGCAGACGATCCAAATCTGATCAAGATCTCAGGCTGGTGTCCACGCGTACGCATGGGGAGGCAGTCAGTCGACCCGTCGCAGTATGTAAAACCGTCTGAATGTACGATCAAGAAGCTGGATGGTCGCCTTCGCTTCGAGTCTCGAGGAGACTGGGTAAGTATGGATCGGCATGATCTTACACAGACGGAATGGGAAAGCTGCGTTCCTGTGTTGATTGGTTCGACGGAGGACTCGCATGATAGTCCTCTGACTCTTCAAGATGATGGTCACATATTTACCTTCCTACTACTCTGTCCTACATTCGAGAAGGATATATATGAAAGGGTCGGAATATTCTATGTGTTGCTGAAGCGCACATCTTCTGGGGTATCACATCAGAACGAGGGCCAAGCTCCAGACTGGGATGAAGACCGGTGCGACGACGAATATACCATTGAAGAGCTCGATCCTATCGATGATCTCTTAATGGTCGGTCTGACGATGACGCATGACATGCGCCAGGGGCTATACAGAACACAAGAGGACGAGGCTGACGACTATGATCTTAAGAAGGATCTTGAAAGGTTCTTCGAGGAACCAGACGAAGATTTCGAGGACAGCATTGTGTTTTTGTCGGACTTTCCCGATTGGGAAACACGTGTGTTCATTGTAAGATAGTCCTCAGCTGTACCATTTGGAACAAGATTTCCTACATGGCATGATTACTACCTGCACGTGGAAATCTTCGAGATTTCGGTTGTCGGATACAAGCAGTTGTGGAAGGAAAGCGTCTGTATAGATTAGTCGTTGATGGTGAGTCTTTAACAGCGCGACCTTCGCGCGACCGAAGCAGACAGGGCTTGGGCATAGGCACATTCGGTTTCGAAACTGGAAAGTTTATAAAACGCACAACGGATGTATGCCCTATGTAGTCGTTTTGATGCCATACTTCCATTGGAGAGACTTGCTCAGATCAGTCAATAATCGGCACGGAAGTCGTCTTCAGGTACGGCAAGCGTTTTCTCGGTCTTTCGCGTGTAGACAGTGAGATTGTGTGATACAGTTCGCTTTCAGAAAACCGTAGCTCAACATGCATCCAAGTTCTTGCACAGCATGATTGAATATCTTGATCTAAGTCTGAAAAATGATCAAGGCAGTACTCTGGCGATATCTATTCGCATTGCTGTGTTTGGTTGCAAGCCTTTACCTCGCCGATTCTGCAGAAACAGGATGACTCTACAGATATGTCGGCTTCGGGCATGGCTAGAGTGAGCTGTCTCTGGATTCTGGAAGCATCCTCCGACCGACCAAGTCGGACAAGACACTCGTGGTATCCGCGCAACGCCCAGACGTTCTTGGGATGTTGATGCGCACGCGTCAGACGTCCTTCTAGTCCAAGATCTTCTGCATAGGCGTGCGCTGCTTGCTCTACCAGGCCCTGCTCAAGTGATAGAGCGCCATATGGATGTCTTGCCGGTAGCATCCAACCCCAAGGCTCAGTATACATCAGATCGTCTTCATGCTTGATAGCTTCCCGGATTGAGAGGAATGCGACATCATAGTTCTGCCTCCTGTATTCGATTTCGCCGTTCAACATGGAACTGGCCACTTTGAGTACGTCCACAATGCGGTTCGGAAAATCCAACCGACTTTCTGGCACACGTTTCGAAGCCGCCTGGAATAGCTCACGCTGGGCGTCTGCGTTGTCCAAATCGTTTGTCGCAGCGTATGCGACGCTCATGCCATAGTGCCGCATAGCAATGGTGACGCAATACAACTCCTTATCCTCCAGCGTTTCCAACGGGACGTAATACTGTACGGTTGAAGCTATCGTGAGGTACGTACGGATCGATTTCTGGTGTTGTACGTACTGTAGGTCCAAAAAAAGCTCTAAGTACGGGCCGTAACCGTAGTACGTTCGCTCGGACCACATACGGACTGTACAATTGCCTAATTAGGAAACTGCTAAGCTTATTTTGTAAATTGAAGCTACTGTAGGCGCTTGGGGAGCTGTATTGTGGTGTTGAGGATAGAGCTTTCAGCCAGCGTCGTCGCCTAGGCAGCTGTTGTTGCTGGCTATATTGCTGCTGCTGCCAGCGACCCCGCTGTTGCCGCTGCCTTGCTTGCTACCCAGCGTTGTACGTGTTGTTGTAGCTTTAAAACTTTGCTTTTAACGACGCTGTGACGTAACCAGTTCTTCTGAAGTTGTAAAGCCTCTATCGTGGCTGCGCTGAGGCGGTTTCGATCGCTTGTAATCGTCCGTTTGGCGGTTGAGAAGATACGCTCACACTCGCAACTAGTAGCGGGGATAGAGAGGTAGTCGGTGGCAATCTTGAAGACTACTGGGTACTTCTGGCGTCCGATTTCGAGCCACCAGCGCCAAGGATCGTGGAGGAGAGCGAGTTGTTGTTCGCTGGCGTTCGTGAGGTCCTCACGGAGGTCGTCAAAGTACTCCTCTAGCTGGCTTGCACGCTTTTGACGCTTGTGAGACTTTGAGCCGGTGAGAAACATGAGATTAACAGCCATTGTTTGGCTGTAGAGGTCAGCGTTGCCGCCAGGTACCTTGCGACGCGGCAGCGGCAACGCTGTATCGTCGTCGTCCACCTCTGCCGCCATATAGAGCTTGAAAACCTTCATTGTAGAGTCCTTTGCGCGCTTTACCCAATTAGCGTACTGCTTCTAGTGGGTTTAAAACCAGGCAAGGCGTAGGGCGGGATAGAGAGCAGTTGCGACGACGTAATAGCTAATTTGGGGTTGTATAATCAGCTTTTCAAAGTATGAGGTGAGCTTCTCAAGGCCGTGTTTTACAGCAGCTACAAAGTAATCGCTGTTATTGCTATCGTCGTCAAACCTAGCTTTAGTGGAGCTGTAGAGAGTCCACAAAGCTTGCAAGCTTGTCAAGGTTTGCCACAACGATCTGAAGCCAGACGCGCTGTTGTTACCCTCTAGGCGCTTCGTTATCTCAACAGGTGCTTGTAGAAAGTCGACAAGCTGTTGTACGCCCTCCCACTCCTCGCTGGAGATCTCGTCGTTAAGTGGGTTGTACTCGTTGTTGTAGCCTTGCGAAGCCTGTTGTTGTAGTCTCGTCATAAAGCGAGTAATCGGGTTACGAAGCTCCAGGCAACGGAGGAGCATGTAGTACACTGAGTGCTAGCGGACGCCTCTATCTTGACGTAATTGAAGCGTATTGTACGTGTACAACTTGTTGTCGTCGCGTGGTTCTTTCTGGAGCGATAGAAACAACTCACGACGCTTGTGAGAGGCGCAAACAGCGTTGACGAAGTTGTGTAGCTTGCCGACAACCCTATGGGATCGAAAAAGCTCATATTGTTGAGCTGGGGACGCCTCTGCGAGCTGGGATTCGAACCGGCTTACGCCTTTGCCGTACAACGTCGCCTTGACGACGAGGTTTATAATATGCCCAGCACAGCGTATGCGGTTGTTTGATGTAAGATTGATATTGTCGTGTTCGTTGAGGCCTTGGATAAGCTCGTTGTTATTGTTAGTGGCGTTATCGCCGACGAAGCAGTGGAGTTGTGGTGCTATTTCGAAGCTATTGAGGGCTTTAAGGATAACAGCAGCTTGCGCAACGCCTGTATAATCGCTGTAGAGGTTCTGAAACGCGAGGAGTATATCACGCTGTCGATATTGAGCGTCTGGAGTTGTTAGCTGTTGCCAAAATACAGCTATTGATAAGTACTCACCCGCAAAATAACCCACAACACCAAGGAAGCTTAGGTGGTTACTTAACGTCCACACGTCAACACTTATACTTATTTTGCTTCGCGCTGTTGTTACGAGCTTCTTAATCTCCTCCCTCCGCTCCCCTAGAGTTGATCTCGTGTATTCGGCGATCGTAGTGGTTGACGTAGGCAGCGCCTTCAAGAGATCGCTTTGGTTCTATGTAAGCAACCCTCGTAGCTTAGGTGAGGTTGCAACCAGAAAGCTAATATCTTTTAGTATTACCTAGTCAACAAGAGCGGCTTGGAGTTGCTCCTCTTGCCACGGCGTATGCGATACGAGTCGATTTGAACCAGCAACCTTCGCAGCGTCAAACGGGGAGCTCCATTTTAGATCCTCCTGTACAACCTTAGGCAAAAGGCCTGTATGGACGTTAATCCGGTGGTACTTCTTTATGTGGTTGACGATATGCTTGTTACCGTCAACAACTTTGACTTGGTCCGTCGTACGCGCGTCGTGACAGCGCTTACAGAGCTAGTACTGCTTTATCGTCTTGTCTGTATCCTTGTACGTAAGGTGTACCCCATAACGCCATATTGGGGATACTGAACGTTTGCCGAGGAGTTGACTTTTGCTTTTTACTGCGTACGATAAACTCTGTTCGTTCAAGCGTATCCCACCCTTGTATACGCAGCTGAAATCAACTGCAAACGCAGGCTCGTTGTCGTCAAAACTCAGCTCAGAAACCTGTGAGTATATACCCAACGGCGTAGGGGTTACTGGAGGTAATTGAGATGGTGATTCTGATGATGCTGTACGACGAGAGGCAGCATGGTGGAATACAGGATAGTTTGACGCAGAGGAGTTGCCTGACGGCGTTGAAGGAGTACCCCGTACCCAGCTTCTGAGTTGAGACATATTCAATTGATGATACTGATGATATAAAGCTCGGGGAGAAGCCTCTATATTAACAAGCTTATTATTCTAGCCACCTCCCAGCCACCGCAATACTCAGTCACCAAAACGAAACTTCTCACGATACCCACGATACCTACGAGGTTTCCAGTTTCGTTCACGAGCCAATACACCCCGTACAGCTATCGCGAGGTGTATCTAGCTCTCTGTAGTGTTGTTGTCGCCTCTGTTATGCGATATCTCAAAGATGAGCGATGAGAAGCCGCCAAATAAGCTACAGGCAACCTACAACACCACAGAAAGCTGGATACACCTTACAATAGCTGTACTGCCTCATTAAGGACCTGCCGTACGCTAAGGGCAAGGTTATATACTGCGTAAACTAGCTATATCCCATCATACAACCTACAAGGACCCCCGCAGCGCAGGTATATATACACGCTGTTGTAAATAGAGACTTTGCCGTCTCCGTTAATTACACCTACAATAGCGTAGTGCAGTTACTAGTAGGGACTTGTCCCGGCTTTAATAAGCCTCTCTCAGGTGTAGTTGGAACTACTGTAGGGGTTTTTTTTTGTTCGAATTAGGTTACAACCCTCTCTTTTTGCTTCTTTTTAGATACAGGTACGCCTGAAGCAATTGCAACACCAAGAAATTAGCTGTATAGGAATCCTACGCTGTTTTTTCGGCCTCACGGCGATCCTTAGCCAAAATCCGATAACTCTGGGCCGTACGCCGTACTACGGCTCCTAAAACTTCACCCCCTACGGATACTGTACGGACCGATGAGAGGTCTCCTACGTACGGCTTACGTACGTCGTATCACCGTACAGTACCTCACCGTACTACTGTACGATGGGAACGCTGTTATCCTCTGGTATCTGCAGCTTCTTGAGCTCGTCCCATCTCCCAAATCGAATCAGAACATGGACTCTGACAGCCAGGAAGAACTCCAGCCAATCGGCCATAGGTGGCGATTTGACTCTCAACATCTCTTCTGTAATCGTTGCTTCCATGCGGTCGCAGGACTCTAAAGCGACCTGGGACTGACCTACCAACATCGCCGCATAGATCAAGGAATGATAGTTGTGGAGCCTGTAGAAACTGCAGAAATTCAGACCACCTTGCTTGACAAAGAAATTATCGTCGGCGACAGTCGCTTTGTGGTTATACAGCATCGCGCGACGGTACTCGCAGGTAATCAGCAAAGTTTCGTGCTTGCGTTTGTCTATAGGTACTTACCTCACCCACGAGGACATCGATATGGCAAGGCATATGCGACATATGACCAGCGTCTGGAACCAAATTACGGATGATGTCAGCGGCTACGAGTGCTTTCTCTGGCGTGTCTGACATCTCCATAAGATGGATGTACATGTGCGGAACACCTGGATGGCGAGAAACTTCGGCATGCTCCAGACCAGTTTCCAAAACCCCCTTGACCTCGAGCACAGACGACGATGCAACAGGCTTTCCTGTCTTCTTGTCAAAGAAGTCTCTTGGAGTCCATGTCATGAGCGCATCGGCAAAGAGCGTGGTGATGTCTAGATCGTGGTGACCGAACTCACGATACACCTCCCTCATCGCTTCAGCGTAAGCCTTGTTTGACTTGGGAAAGTTGGTCGTCACTTCCTCGATCGAGTAGCGTTTTTGTAGTGCCTGGATGACCGCTTTCTCCATTGGTGTTGCCATTGATGACTTCTCCAGAGCTACCTGTGCGTCGGAGTTGCATTGGGTGACCACCTTCTTGAGGTCTTCAGTACTGAACACTGCCCAGCTTTTGTTGTAGTTGGGGCCCGCGGCGAATGCAAGACCCCAGTGGGCCATTGCACACTCTGGATCGTGGGCAATGGCTTGGCGGAAGCAGTAACATGCTTCTTCGTGGTTGAAGGCGTATGTCCAGTTCAGTCCGCGATTGAACCATTCCTGGGCATCCGAATTCTGCGTGCTGATCTTCCTTTCATAGGTACCAAGGTTATAGTATGACTCGCTGGTTGGCCGCTTTATCATCTTGATTGACGTAGGTGTATGCTTGAGATGCGGGCTAAAGAAGCGGTGCAGGTTGAATAGCTGCTCTTAAGCTTTTATAACCCGCGTATTCATGTTCAAGACGGCTACGGAGACTTTAGTCATCCCAGGAGTAGATGTTTCCGAACGGTAGCCGTGAACGGACGATCGGCGTACCCCCGTTCGGTTACACCGGGTTTGCCCGGCGTCTTGCCCGGCGTCTTACCGGCGTCTGCACATGATCAACGCGCCAAATCAAATGGCTTGTTCGCATAACCGAATATTCATGCTAGTTGATATTACTAATGATATACAGAAACTAGTCGCGGTACGCTGTTTTTGGTGACTGTTGGATATTTCTAAATGAGACCGTACTACGCTTAGCGTAACCGATGAGGAGGTCCGGTGAATAGTCTCACTTTTAGTAATCAGGTCTATGGAGATAGGCTCAAGCAACATGCCGAGGCCTTACTGTTGACTGGGCAGGATGTCAAAGCGAGTTATCTGCGAAAGCAACCATATAGACACCTTTTAGCTCGTCATACATAGCCTTAATCCACGCAAATCTTGCATCGTACAGACTGTAAATCTTCATCGTCGTTTCAATACCATGTCTGATCTCTTCAGTTGTTCGTTCTGTATCAAGGATCGATGGATTTTGTAGGCCAGTTGACGCCCTCATCTGACATAGCGTTGCAACCAAGACATAACAAGCTTGCATAGCGCTGCAAGCTAAGAGAGGTACTGTCAATGGCCATGAATATTGGGAAACGTCTTGATCATCGAGGTGTGAGTAGTCCAAAGCTGGTTTCTGACTTCTCGTGAGCTTGCGGAAGAGGCGTATGACGGCCAATGCCGAAGATAAACAACTCCTACTCAGATCTTCCTCTCTGGCAAGATCCGATTGTTCCAGCGCAGACCAACTGCTGCTCACAGTCGCAACTATGGATTCTGGACTTTTGGGAGAATTTGCCTTATGTTGATCAATACCTATGGCGGCCATGTCGCAGTGTCGGTCGACGAAGACTGGAACGTCTGCGAATGCGGCAGCTCGATAAAGCTTGATTCGAGCGCTATGAACAGCGATACGGGAAATCATATTCCAATTGTAGATAGCCTTCATATCAGAGCTTTGTAGCAACCTGATTGTGTGTGGCTGATCAATATCATGAACGCATGACGCGAGTGTTGCCTCAAGCATCTTGAACGACTCAATTCCCTCCTCGATTTCGGTTCGGGTAGAGAAAGTGAGATGTACGAATTGGGCGCGAAGTAACGACCTCCAGGTCCCGAATGTACCCTCACAGTGCGGGTAGGGCGTTCTGAGGCATGGATCATTGACCTTTATCAATGGCGGAAGTGCTTACATGATTGAAAGCTGATTGGCGAAGTATGTGATCATCCACCAAGACCGTCGCACAGCTTCGGGGGCGCTGGGCCCAAAATTATGTAAGTCTGCATCCATAGCAGCCGCTATAGCAGAAGCTAGGTGCTTGCGAGTTTTGCTGATGTTGCCTCGATGACAGTATTCATACAAAGCACTAAAGAAGAGAGCAAGAATGCCTTCCAGATTTGGTGAGATATCCGGGTGTAATCTCTGTCTGGGAGGTAGGCTGGTCATTTCCATATCATCATCTATCTTCTGCAAAGCCGACTTGGACAACGCATGAGCGAGTTCGCATCGGCTTGACGTGTCGGACACCTCCTGCCTTGTCTCATAGGATGGGACCATAGCCAAGAGTGCAGCGATAGCAAAAGTGAGCGGAGAGTTCATCTCTCTAAGGTTTTGACTCTGCAGATCAGGCATTGAATGGGGTTGATCATGTGGATGTGGAGCGACAGCAGGTGGCAGAACCGGAAAACATGGATGAAGGAAAGTGTAGTATGCATCTAACCTAGAATCTATCAGTGATCGAATGTACGGGTGACTGAAGAAAGGCGCATTCGACTCACACATCGGCTTCGGCCCGATGGGTTTGAGCTTTATCTTGAACGGCATTGTTCGGAACGATTTCGTCTCTTACTTGGCCATCATGAACACCAAACAGGGATGGTGACCGGTCATTGGCAGAGATTGGATAAGCTTCCTCAAGAGACAACTCGCTAGTGTCGACAGCTTGTGGAGAAGATCTGTAGCCGGCCTGCTCAGCAGGCGCTGTTCGAGGTTTACAGCCTCTGCGGCTAGGCCGAAAGATGCATTCTCTGCTTCTTGTAACGCACTGCTTGAGGTCAGGCACTGATAATAGTCAGATCATAGGAATCTCTTACATTGTCACACGGGTGTTGGCCATTACAGCGAGTTTTACATGCACGACTGCCATTGCAGGTCAGTGTCGTCAACGTACAATGACGACTGTGGGAAAATACCAAGCCAGGCATGCAGCCTTTACAGGAGGGTGCTCCAAACGGCCACGCATTGCCTAGTCTGTCGAGTACCGTCGGTTACCAGATTCCTACGTTCGCGAACGACCGAGTGAGTGCTGGTTAAGAAATGAGGCATCTGCTGGACACCGGTGGCGAGCGGAACGGCGTTTACCTAAGCGGTAAACGCCGAAACGCCGCCCCACTTCTCATAGGGGGCTAGTCGACCTTTCGTGTCATTCGGCCTCTCACTTGCACAACCAATTTCTGCATGTAGTGATCTTGAAAGCCGAATGCAGAGTTACGACCTGCGCGGTCACAACTAGAATGCCTGAAAGCTTTGTCAGGTAAGTTTGCGTGAAAAGCCAGCACTATGTCAGCATTTCAGCAGCAGACATAAATACAGAGCGTATTGCCGGCACCTTCCTTAGGGCATCAAGTCACTCTCTTCCTTTGCAAAGCAACTATTCTTCTAAGTTACACTATACCTCATCACAATCAGGATGGCAACTTCATCTACGAAGCAGTGGACCGTGGAGGGCGGGACTGGCTTTGAATGCCTCACCTTGAACAACGACGCGGCCGTTCCCCAGCTGGGCGACAAACAAGTCTTAGTGAAACGTGCGGCTTCAAGTTTGTAGTAGGCCAGGCCTCAGGCTGACATGATCTAGTTCATGCTGCTTCACTCAACTACCGTGACCTCGCTATCGCAAGGGTAATACACACTCCAGACTCAATCTAGTCATATGATGCTAACAGTTCTCAGAACGAGTTCCCTTTCGGCTTCACAGATGTTGTAATCCCCGGATCAGATGGCGCTGGAGTGGTTGAAGCAGTTGGCTCACACGTCACTCGCTTCAAGGCGGGAGGTATGCAACAAACTGGATGAGCTGGCTTCCGCTGCGAGCCCTTGTAGCAGCCTACCTTATCGTTTTCCTTTTCCGCAAAGTGCCTCCACTGACATTAAGCAGACAAGGTTCTGACCATGTTCAACCAAGGGCACCAGGCTGGTTCCCTCGATGCTGCATCTTTCAAAACTGGTTTAGGCGGCTTCGTCGACGGTACGCTTCGCGAGTATGGGGCCTTCGATGAGACGGGTCTAGTTGCGATGCCTGTAAACCTCAACTGGCAGGAAGCAAGCACTCTTCCATGCGCTGGTCTTACCGCATGGAATGCGCTTTATGGTCTCGAGAGCCGAGCTCTCAAGCCGGGCGATGTTGTTCTGACTCAAGGAACTGGCGGTGTTAGCCTTTTCGCTATACAGGTGCGTAAATCGCGACTGATATGCTTCACTATCTGATCGTCGGTTACAGTTTGCCAAAGCCGCAGGCGCAAAAGTCATTGCAACAACTTCCTCGAATGCCAAAGCAAAACTATTGGAGCAATTGGGTGCTGATCACATCATTAACTACCGCGAAACTCCCAACTGGGGCGAGCAAGCCAAGGCATTGACGTCCGACAGAACCGGTGTGCAACACATCATCGAAGTTGGCGGACCTGCCACCATTGCTCAGTCGCTCAAAGCCGTCGCCATCGACGGTGTGATATCTATCATTGGTTTTATTGGCGGCTCGTCCAAGGAGCAGCCGACATTCTTGGATTGTTTGAGTAACCTGTGCACAGTAAGAGGTCTTCTTGTTGGCTCTCGCATGCAGTTTGAGGACATGAATAAGGCTATCGAAGCCAACAATATTCACCCTATTGTTGACAAACAGGACTTCTGTTTGGAACAGTTGAAAGAGGCCTATCAGTACATGTTCGACCAAAAGAACCTCGGGAAGGTTACTATCAAGATTGCATAACATGCTGTATGGCTTATCAAACGTGGAAAAAGGAGGCAAGCATCTAGGTATCATTTCACATAGTACTTGGGAGGTCGCATGGGGTCTTCAACAGTCTACATACAACAACTGAATCCAAAGCATCGCTATGCATATATGTATTTTCGAACATGAGGTTTATGTGCATGCTAATCAGATCTCTCGAGACACTCGCTACACAGTGGCCCCAATGCTCGGCACTTGACGCAACTCCAAAATCTAATCACGTCTTTTATGAGATAGCCAACTTCGATCTAGCTATTCCTGTAAGCAAGCCATTGACGTTCAGTTTCCACCACAACCACAACTCCTTCATTGGGGTACGGTCTCGATGTCGAAACGTTCTCCCTTCAGCCTTCTGTGGCACGAAACTCAGCTGCTCTCCTTCCGAACAGCGCCCGACGTGGTCTATGCAACGATCTATCGACATCTCTAGACATCTCGTGTACAGACTTTCCTCATTATCTCCTGGCAAGATAGGCGGGAAGACCTTCTCCAGGACGTCACCACCGTCCAAACTCGATGTCAGCTGATGTAACGTTGATGCGACCTTATCGACTGCGCCATCGTAGAGTGCAAAGAAGATGCAGTGGTTTCCCTTGTACTCAGGAAGATGGCCTGTGTGCATATTGATCATCAGCCCCGCACGCGCGGTCAACTTCTTGCCGATATAATTTGTGCCTGAAACAATGGTCAGCTCGGGCTGCCACTCTTCCACTGCGTCCCATACGTCACGAAAATTGACGCTCTCGACAACGAGGTTCGGTTCGGGCGATACATGATCCTGCGGTATGAGACGGTCGAAGTACGCCTTGCGCTGACGGTCGTGACCAAAGATCTGGCGGCGAAGCCCGTGATACTTCTGCCAGAACGCATCAACGATGCGGCGCTTCTTCAATAGCTGGTGGAACTGCCCATAGCTTGTTTCCTGGATGCAATGGTAGCCAGGAAAGGTTTGATCGAGACGGTAGCGGAGGTAACGGTGCTGAGGACCATCCGAGCACAGCAGGAGCAGTTTCAATGGCTCTCGCTTTTTCGTATTCAAACTATCCTGGAGCCTCAAACTGTTGCATGGCAGTTGCAAATCGATGGTCTTGGCAAAGGGGAGTCTTCCGCGATCAGGGTGGAATAGCACATGAATGGGATCTTCCTCGCCCATCAGTGATCGCAACACTGCACGTCCCACAGCAGGAGCCTGTGCGAAGCCACCCGTGTTGTTACCACCAGTAATGATCAGCTGACCACCACCAGCGATGGGAACCCTTTCGAAAAGGCCAAGGCCTGTCGGTGTGAAAGGCCGCACACAGAACTTACGGTATCCGCCCGGGTAGAAGGCCATAGGGCCCCGCTTTCTTGCAGCAGCATAGTTTTGTGGAAAGTAAATTCGTGCAACCTCCTCAAGCTCGGCGTAGAGAGCCTCCATCTCTTGCGAGTCTGGTAATGGGCGATCTAGACCGACGTAACCGTACCCACCTCCAAAGATGAGAATGTCCTCACCAGTTTCTGCATCATTGGCTACGGTGATGTTGACATCTTCTACCTTGTGGCCACGTCGATGGATCTTCATGGAATTATGCATTGTCGGGCTCAGATTGGGGATCTGCAACCATATTCCTAGAACGCCATGGACAAGGTTCTCCGAGGCCGTCCCGTTCAACAGTTCATTTTTTGTGGTACCAGGACTTATGACGAAGTGATCGGCCTTCAGGTCTCCCTTCTCTGACTTGAGCATGATGACCTCGCCTCCAGAGTTGCGCTGGATACTCTGGACTTCGCAATCCCACACGAATTCCACGCCCAGGGTAGCGAGGTGATGTATCAACTTAGCCATGAATAGGTGGACGTTCACTGTGAAACCGTCCACAATGATGCCTCCGGCAAGATGATTGGTCTCGGCGGCGGGGCGGAAGCTGGGATATTGCTCCAGGAATTCCTCGGGACTAGGAGCTTGGAGAAGCGCACCAAGTCTATCGTTCAGACTGATGGATGATTCCAAGGCGACTGGCTCCGTATACATGCGTATAATGTCCTTGTGGAAGCCGACGTCACTGAACAGCTGCGGGTAGGTGTTCATAAGTTCTTGCCAGATCTTCCCGGACTCACAGTTCACCTCATGGATATTCTTCTTGAAAGTCGCCGCCATCCAACCCGGAATGCGTTCAAAAGCGTCGACCCAAGCTTGTTCTTTGCTAGAAAAGTCTCTTGGCGACTTTACACTCCATCCGCCATTGCGGACAGTATTACGGAATATGGGCTGCATGTCCCGGTATATGTCGCTGCCTTGCTCATTGTAATTGTCGGCTTCGGTGTTGGTGAACATGCGAGCGTTATGGCCGCCGCTTGTAACGCCTAGCCGCGCCCAATCCTTGGGTTGGCAAAAGCGAGGGTCTGGCCCCTGGTCGACGACTCGAATGCGGTAGCCACGCACAGCTAAGAAATGAGCGGTCATCAGATTCATGATACCCGCCCCGACTAGCAGGACAGTTTCTTTCCCAGGCTGAGAGTTTATCTTATTGCCAAGGACCCTTTGACTTCGGACATTGGCACAGACTCGGGCATAGAGCATCTCTGCATCTCGAAGCACTGATTCCTCCCATTCTTTTGTTGGCTCGTTTGGCATTCGCTCGGAGAATTCGGACATCTGAGCCACACGGCCGTTGGCATATTCCTGTAGGCGAGGTATGCTAGTGGGATCTCGCACTAGCATCGACTTGGGCATATGGCAAGCTTGGGCGAGCCAGCTATCCATGAGGTCACCCGTCACTTCTTCGCCATCGCATATCCATACGTCGAATGCCTCTCCACTAGTAAACGGAATAGAAAGACCAGAGCTAGTATCTTTGAAGATAGCATAGCTGGAATAGTCCGTCCCAGAACAGACGGAGGGAAGTCTGATAGTAATAAGAAACTTCATGATGAGTACAGTCGGTGCTTGATGTGCAAGATCGTCAACAAGAGAAATAGAGGTTGGATGCTTCAGTCTTGATCGGTTATTGAGACGATTCGCAATCTTCTAACTCAGCATATATAGCATGATCGCGGAAAATTGAGAAATCGTTCACACCCACTCCAATCCCGTTTCGTGAACGCAACCTTCTTTGCATCTAAGCGAACCTGTACATCTGGGCACCATACTATGCATCTCCAAGTCGGTGTGAAAGGTAGAGCACATGGTGACAACGACGATGTCGAATCAGTCGTCAAACTTCGTGCCAATACAGCCACAAGGTGTTGTATACAATCCCTACTGCATGTGGGTCCGCCTCCACACTGTAACAGTGAGTGTAGATGAGCCACCAGTAGCTAGAGACCAACCCTTTCTTTTGTTGGCGATGACAAGCAGCGCTTGACTGCATCTGGTCAATGGGTTTTGTCTGAAATGGTGTTCGTATCTGCATCAGGTGTAACCACAATGACTAGCGAGGCTGCCTTAGCTTCCTGCGGCTTACCGAAATCTAACGCAGGGCTCGGCCCGGCGGGTAGAACCGGGCATCAGGAACAAGTGTCTCCGCTCCACTTGTTATGACAGACCCTCGGCAACAAGGGAAGTATAGTTCCCTCCGGCATCTACTACTACCTACCTGGTGGCCTGCAGTGGTGATCGATACTGTGCTTCGTACTCTTGCGTGGCAACATCGTAGCAATGCGCCTACTTACAGCGCGAGGTCTTGTATCCCTTGACTGAGTCTCTGCTTGAGGATGCCGTTACGTAATGTCAAAGTTGTGGTGGCTGGCAGCCATACCACCCTGCATGTCGGCTTCTTTCCCGATTTGAACCAAGGTGATCACTGAAGCAAGACAAGATTCCGAGAGTCTGCGTACACACACGTCCCATCGTCCATACACTGCTGTCCCCGGTCAGATCATCATCTGTTGGGTTAGGTAGCCTCACTATTGCGCATAGTCTCAACGCGCCTTTGCACAGCCGAACCTTGCATATACAACTTGGTACCCTACGTGCGGTGCCTACTTCAAGTATTTCAAAAGTCATTTGTGTAAAGTACAACACGGAATTCGCAGGCGTGTACCACCCCCAGCTGTTTCGGATGAACACTATACGATCACCCAGCAGCTGCATATCTAGCTCTACCGCAACAACACCATTTTCCTGAAACGAACTGTATCTGGAACGCTGCACTACTTCACCGTTCAGTTGACCTAGGTCCAGACGCCCAGACTCCCCCTTCTCGGAGCCATGACTTTGCTGAACGACTATTCATGCGCACATTGTTATTACACTATAAGCAGTGAAGATCGCCTGTAGCGCAATTCCACGTTGGTGATCCCATCTGCATACCTGTCGTACGCGCAACACGGCATTCGAATAGGGTAGAGTGTAGGATTCTAAGCAGCCACATCCTCAGGGTGAGACCATCTACATGCCGCTTATCCGTCGCTTGGTGTAGTGAAGCCATGACCATAGGATATGTTAAGCTGTGCAGGTAATGAGGGACTGCTCGGCTTTTTGACGATTGATGCGCAGTTACTAAGCCCCAAACCTGGGCCGAATTTCGATCTTGTCCCCCAAGCTGAAATGGCGCGTGCATTCGGCGCGAGTGGTTTTATACTTCGATTAAGTTCTACTCTCAAAGCGCTACGTACTACGTTCGACGGACCAAGCACGTTTGTATCATCGGCACATTGCGACAAGGTATAACGCGTTGTAATTTAATGATCTAGCGCCTGGATCAGCAATGCCAGACGAGGTATTCGTCTTGTGTATGCATGCCATCGTCTGACGCATACTGCGCTTTATCATGCCACAATGGGGTACCCGTGGTCGCCGTTACGATGCAGCCACTCCAAGCAGGCACCACTGATGACTGCACGCATATGTCATCGATCACTCATTGCAAAGGACAACATGTACTTTTTGATTCCTTCCGTGAGTACTTGGGGACAGTTGATGCAATCGTGAAGTGGATCTGTGTGAATGTGAAGCCGGCAGCTTGACATATCGTGCACACAAATGCATATGTTTTTCATATCCAGCGGGCCGAGATTCGCAACCATGTTGCGTTCTAGTCAGTTCAATCACCGGCGTCCGACATGGCCAGTCATGTCTTTGGATTGGTGGAAACGGAAGAGCTGGCTCCACCCTATTTTTCTTCTTATTCTAAGCCCATTCGTGCTTTTGTTTCTCACACTTCCAGCCCTCGTTGACTTACTTGTTGACATTTCTACTGAGTATAGCCAAGATGCATCGACAGTGGCCGGCAATCGCGTCGCGGTGCGTTATCTCCAGCACGACACGATCACAACGTCATGTAAGTTCTCGAGAGTACATCTGTGGAGCGATAGATCACTGATTTTAGCTAAGTCATTGTCTTTCCTAGCTCCCTAGCTTACATCCGACTCGTCTTTACATTCCCTATGCAGCGGCCACATCGCTTGCCATCTCCAACAGAGCATCCTTGTCGCAGAACTCAACCACCTTCTTGACCTTGGACCCATCCTCATTGAAGTACAAAAACCAAGCAGCCTCAGAGGAATACGTCTTCCCACTGCTCCTGACAAACACATCGGCCTTCGCTGTGAAAGCGGCGCGGCGCGCCTCCACGTCAATGGCCAAGTTGGACATGACGTTATCCTTGAAGTGCAGCACTCTGATATCGTTCCCGAACATGCTTTGAAAAGCGGTCGTGTCGAAGGAAGCATCTGCCGCAAGTCCGAAAGCTTTCATAACAGTTGCCGGGAGGAAATGACGTGTGCAGTCGGATGTAAGATCGCGATTGATGACTGATGGGTCGCTGTGAGCTGCGCCCTCTTCGAATGCCGACAAGAAGGCTCGGGCTGTGGTCTCCATCTGCTCTCTGAGATTCGTCGTGGGTGGAACTAGAGCCATGTCGAGGTCGTATGTGGCCGTGTGTTGGGTATTGAAGGTCTTGTTCAGGATGCTGTTAGCCAGAAAGTTGATGCAGTGATTGCACATTGAGTTGCGATTGAAGCCAGCTTATAGCTCCTGCAGAGTTACAGTGTCTACCTCTCCGACAACTCTGCTTTAGGGTACTACATGGTGTTTTCTACACTTAACCCCTATTTTGGCATGGTGCTTTACCAACATAACATGTTTACATAACGTTATGTAAAGCGGCATCCGTCAAAGACTTTTGAGATCTTGGCGAAATTCGTTACGCGATCTACTACTAGCGCAGATGACATTTTCTCCCATTCCAGCCTAGTCCGTCTTGACTTCGGGGTCTCCCCGGCCATACTTGCGATCTAGCTTGGCCCCACCGGATGACATTGTCGCTTCCTCCAGCCTAGCTCGCAGCTAGATGTCCGAGTATTCCCATGTGTCCAGGTACTGAGCCTCATTTCAAGTGATATATCGAGCATTTAGCACTTGATACCTGACATGGTAGAGACGCCCATACGGAGCAGCGGTGTAAGCATTCGTCCTGTTCTGCCCCTATGAGAGCGATGGTTTGTAAGTGCCGAGTCCGCGGCGACCCGGCGATGTGCGACTATGTGCAGTGCCTTCATTATATATGTGGTCAGCCTGCCAACCTGTGAAACATCTTTCCATCGATACACTTCAAAATCACTCAAGATCTCATCAATTCATCACAATCGAATCACATTCACCTTCTATATCCAAGTTCATTCTCGTTGAAACAATGTCTCCTTACGCTCAGGCCCATGTTTCGCCAAAAGGCCCAGGCGATGCGCGTCCAACAGCTATGCAAATCATCAAGGACGAAAAGGCTGAGAATACACTTAAGGGGGAGGTCATCGTCATTACTGGTACATCGTCTGGCATAGGTATCGAAACTACTCGTGCTCTAGCAGCCACTGGCGCGACCCTCTTTCTTACCGCCCGAAACACAGCGAAGGCTCAATCCGCCCTCGAGGGTATCTTAGAACCTTCACGCATGACCATCGTCGAGATGGACCAGGAGAAACTCTCGTCTGTCCGGGCCGCCGCTGAGACTATCCTTAGCAAGACTTCAAAGATCCATCTCCTTGTCAACAATGCCGGAATCATGGCTATACCAGATCTCCGCTTCACAGCTGATGGGCACGAACTTCAATTCGGCACAAACCATCTATCGCATTTCCTTTTCTACAAGCTTCTAGAACCCGCCCTTCTAGCAGCCGCCTCGCCTAGCCTCCCGTCCCGCGTCGTCAGCCTCGCCTCTTCAGCGCACAACATCTGCGGCATCAATGATTCCGACAACTACAACTTCCAGAAGGGCGACTATCACCCTACCATGGCCTATGGCCAGTCCAAGACGGCGAATATCTACTTGGCTAATGAGATTGAGCGTCGCCATGGCTCGCGCCACCTTCACGCCACGAGCGTCCATCCAGGCGTTATCATGACCGCACTCATGCAGCATCTGCCTCCGGACGCTTTCGATGGTCAGGATCACGTATACCCTACAATCAAGAGTGTCGAGCAGGGTGCTGCGACAACGGTGTGGGCCGCCGTTGCTGAGACTTGGAAGAACAGGGGTGGCAAATACTTGGTTGACTGCGCAGAGCCGGAGCCATACAAGGAAGGCGATGACAAGTACACTGCACCGGGCTACGCCCCATGGGCTTATGATGTAGAGAAGGCACAAAGGTTATGGAAAGACTCGCTCAAGATCGTGGGATTGCCGGATGACGAGTAGTATCTCTGCAGAAACACTGAATCTCATTGTACCTTCTAGTTCTTCATAACATAGCAAAGAGATCTCTCTCTACACGACCGACCAATCTTCCGATATCCTACTTTCTCTCTTATCATAGCTTTGCAATGACAAGTATAGCATCTTACAAGCCTTCTTACTTATACCGCATCAGGACATTTCTAATTCAAAGACAAGTTTTCCATTGCCGGAAGACTTAGAGGCTCTTCTCCTCTCGCCAACCTCCAACGGTTACTAGAAGCAAGCAGATCGTCGCATCCTTGCACTGCCCACGACCACTTCTTCAGAAACGCTGGGGTAGCCTCCCAGTTCTGTTTAACATGAGGCTCTCCCCAGACTATAAGTCCTCTGCGGCCCGCTGTGACCCCATCGTCATCATTGCCTACGGCTGCGACCGGTTGTTCCAGCGCAGTCTTTGGATCAGACAAAGTAATAGCAACTGGTGTACCTCTTCGCTCCTGGGTCGGTATACTCCCCATAAGCTCCCCAACAAGATCATCCAACAGATCCCAATGGTCGAGTTGTTTCTCGTACCTAATGAAATTGTCTCGTAGCGAAGGGAATGGAAAGAGATTGATCCAGGACGAGTGTGTACGCTCTTGCTGCAAGCGAGTGGGAAATAGCGACGGAGGTATGTTAGGGTTTAGAGGATATATGTTGGTATCGTCGGTGTAGGGTAAGCTGATAGGACAAACCGGACATTCTGTATAAGGCTTGTCGTATGACCAACCTTTGAGAAGCGCATTCAGGGTACGCTTGTTGGAGACGAAAGCTCGAAAAACATTGTATTGGACTAGGTGGAGGAGGTGATCGGTGGAAAGAGGGAAGACCATGGGCGGGGGATTGAGCGTGGTTGGAACTAAGGTCGAAACGCATAGGAGTGAGTCCCGGAATACCACAGTGCTTCTGGGAGTAGCAGTCGAGTTGACAACATTCGCATCCTTGGTGGTGAGATCCTTGGTAGCGGTCTCCTCAGCATCGATGAGCAAGTCGTCCAGTTCATCCAGGCGCCAGCGATCAACTTGGAATGGGCGCGAGGATTGAGCAGAAGCCGCGTTTGGCTTCTTCTTTCGTAGACCTTTATCGAAATCAGCTCAGCAAAGCGCAGGGTGCTTAAGACCAGACTCACGATGCAATCGTTGGTTCTTCCGATTCTGAACTTTTCTGCGCTGCTTAGTGGTTACGGCTTCGATGTTGTTGAGCTGGTGGTCGGGCCTGTTCGCTTGGCCCTCCGAAGAGACCAAGAAGAGTGGGGCAACAAAATGATACATGGTCAGTCGCTTAGAGGCACACGTCTTGTGCTGAAGAACAGCGCGGTTATCTCTCTTTGGGATGTCGTTAGGACGAAATGCGGTGTGTCGAATGCATTGATTATGTGATTATCAAGATAGATTGACCTCACGCTATAGTCGGCCCTTTGTCGTCACGGATCCAAACTAAGATAACCGGGCTCGCCCTATCTGGACTAGTGGAAATCCCCACAAACGCTATGGTGGGACACAGGGGCCAGGCTTCCAGCAATTTCCATTCGTCATCAACAAAACGCAACTGAAACTCATGCGCAATCAAAACTTCGCACGATAGCAAAACATGACACCATAACGCATTCCGGGTCCAAATCCACTACAGCTGCTTACCTTCTGCCTCGCCAACCTGGGACAACGGGCCGAAGGGATGCTGCTTGCGCTTAAAGCCAATCTTGACACGTCCAATGCGCGACATCTTGTCCTCGAACTCTGTACCTATTCGCAGCACGGTTTCTCGGTACATCGTTGCCGTGGTCCAGTCGTAGGAGCAACCAATGATGCGCTTCATACCGCCCTCAGAGCCGGCCATGAGAAAACACACGGGTGGTCGTTCGGCAAGGAAGAGAATCGCAGTCATGTTGCCTATGACAAATTAGCATCTTCTTCGCGCTGCTCACGTTACCACTAGCACTCACCGGTATCTACCAGCGTGAAGAGGCGCTGCTCCCCAGGTCCAGCTGATTTCGCTCGTTGTACAAGAGCTGCAACGGCAGGGTCGGTTGTTGGATCGACAGGAACACATTCGCCATGAACATTGCGCTCGTGCCTGGAAAGTGGACTAGCCGCTGCCTACAAGTGCGAGAACAGAATCAGTACAACGTTATGGATGGAATGAGAGCGCACATACGGTCCACTTCATGCGCCCAAGTCTACCACCAAAGATCTGGGTCTCAATCGTTTCCAGGTCCATATAGCCCTCAAAGCCAAAAAACCAGCATTGTTGCTCCCAAAACTTGCCAAGGTAGAGCAAGCGAAGCAACCATGGCGATAAGCCCATGATCAACAGTGAGTAGATGAGCAAAAAGGCGCCGATGGCGCGCAGTATCGAGGTAGCGAAAGGGATAGCAAGGAGTGTAATAGCAACGATGAACACGACACCGCCGAGACGCAGCATCAACTTCGCGATCATACGTTTCCACGAGTCGCGCCGAGTGTAAGCGACTGGTGTGAATGACTTCCACCGTACATTTGCGGCACGGCAACCGTCAAGGATGATGCTATCGTCTTCACCAACACCGGCAATACCGACATCTTGAGGCAATATGTCCCAGAGCTTGGCATTGTAGGCATCGTCCATCGAGTGCCACGGTTGGTCCGGCGTCTTCGGCAGCATGCATATCAGACGCTCCAGTAGCTGGTCGCTACCGTTCGCAAGGGAGAGACTATGGGGTATCAGTGATAGGATATGCGAATGCACTTGCTGTTTTACATACCGCGCGAATGCTTGAAACGCAGAGTCCGTACGATCGATCTGTGGCCTGAAGCGAAGCAAGCCCATCAAAGCGTAGCTGTGATCGCCAGGAAGATACTCTCCAGTCTGGCGTTTGTGCAGGCACTCGAGAGCAAGCGTGACGAGCTCAAGCTGGCTCAAGATCAAATTTCCTTCGTAGTGGTCGATAAGCTGTCGGGCGACATGAGCGTCGTCGTGCCAGACTTGAGCAGCGAACTGATTCTTTGCGACCAGAATTGGCTGCGATAGATCGCTGTCACGCACGTAGACTTTGATCATCTCACCAGCAGGAGCTAGGAGAACTTCCGGAAAAGTCCACACTCGGCTACCCCATTGTTGAAGCATGAGATCAGGTGTGTTGATCTCGTACCTGTTGTTTGCTGGAGCTGCGACTGCGATCACGAGGGACTGCGCGCCTCGAATGACATCGCATATACGATACACGTCCTCCTCGAGTTGGTTGTCAGGCATACAAGAACATCCGACCCAGTATGCAATGACACCCGCGTTGCGCGCCGCGGCGTCGGCAATCTCATGTAAGACCCTAAAGTCATCGGGCGTGTTGAACTGCTCGGCGGTGTATGCAATAAAGACATATGATAGACTGTTACCGTTTTGTTGTGCCAGCCTGGATATGTCAGAGGTTTACTGGTGGCATGTGCCTTGTCGACTTACCAATCTTCGACCTTGATGATCATCGCCGGCTTACCTTGCTCACGCAAGAAGCAGAGATATCTGGGACGCAAGACACGCTCAGCGATAGGGTTGGCCTCACTCGACGCGAGACCTTTGGGTCTGTGCATCTCGATCGCGTTTTTGGCGACTTTTGGGTACCCAAAGTACTGATACGGCACGGGATCGTAGTTGCCCCCGTTTCGTGAAGCTATCTCAGCAGGGCTTGGACTAGAGATCTGAACTACCGTTAGTCGTATCTCATAGCCAAGAAGAGAGTCAACTTACAAATATCGTGATCATACACGATGCGATGAACCATTTGAGGCAAAGCATAGGGTAGTCTTCACTAGGAATCTTCCCATTGAGCCGCGCAAAGTCAATGTGTTTGAAGGGCCAGTTGGCCAGTCGCAAATACACTGGCGCAATGTTGCGGATGAATGTTCTCCGGTACGTAGATCCCGTGTTGTTTTCGAAGATATCGTCCACCGCTTGTACAACGAGCTTAGAAACCTGGCCATCCCAGGATGAGATGTATCGATCATCATAGTCGCCCGTCCATTCGCGATCAAAGCAGTCGCGATGACGGTGTTGGCCAAGCTTCTGATACCCAAGTCCTGGCTTGCGATAGAAGTTCGGAAACCCCCATTTCACCGTAGTAATGGGTGAGAAGATGTACGAATATCCTTTCAGCTCTATCGGGCCGTTGCGCTGCGTCATTTTAGCCGATGAACGATGAAAAAGGATGGGTCAACTAACCACTACGGACGAGACACCTGGTTGTTTTTCATTTGCTCCGTTGTCACCTTGGTACGGAGCAGCATGTTCATATGGCGCGATCTCGCGAACTGATGCTTGAGCGTCATTCGCGACCATGGTGATGGTAATGTCGATCTATTCACTTGAAACAACCACACAGCTGAGTAATGAACCCCGGCTGGTTGCTCGCGGCTGGCGGCGGAGGTTGATGATACTGTTGATAAGGCTGGTAGTAGTTTGTGGCTTGTGTCTTTACTTCTATCAGGGCAATGACCAGGAAGAGGAAGAAGCATACGTACCTGGGGTGAGAATGTCGGCTGTAGTTGCGATACTGGTTGGTGCTGCACTACAACGACAGGCTTTGTGGGATTGTTTGGATCGTAAGAACCTCCGCCACAGTGATGGGACTGTGTCTGATAAGAATTGTCAGATCGATAAAGGTTAGGAAGAAGGTTGAGGGCAGACTAACTGGATAGAATTGTTGTGACGAAGGTACTTGTACAGAAGTGTTACTGTTGGGATCGAAGCCGCCGCCGTGTTTGCCAGAGAGATTGGAGGGGTAAGCCTGATGGGTGTTAGTAAAGCCAATAAAGGTTCCAGAGGTCGTAGAGTCTTTATACCATTCGATTCTCTCTTAGATACAGCCGCAGTGAATCTGGGACTAAGTTTGAATTCAACTTCGGCGGACGATAGTGTATGGTACCCTCATATTTAGCTTGCTGTTCGGACTAATGCTCGATTAGTACGAGGGTGTAGCGCCCGTTCGAATGCGCAGATATCTACAACAATTGCTTTTGGGTGTACCCTCGACTTCAGCCCGCGCAGAGGATGTTTCCATTGGTCGCTTCGTATTGCCTGATCACTCCACTCTTCCCATCGAGGCATTGTGGCGTTCGACAGAGGCTCTGTAGGACAAGGTACGGATTGAAAGGGTCGAGACCACGACCATGTAACATCCAGTACCATGCGGCGAAAGGCAACGTTGGGGGCCGTTTTGGCATGTGATTTGCAACGTATTGACCTTGGCAGCGTTGCTGCAGTGTGCGCCTCCAGTAGTTCTACATCTTCGGCTACCCTAGTCATTTAACATTGTTCGGCGAGACTTTCATGCCTGCGCCATGCAGGGAATGATTCTCCATGTGACAGTATGAAGCGAACAGCGAGCGCTACAACTGTGCGCCTTTTGCCGTCGGCATTGATGCAAGCTGGTGCGGACAGCTCTCTTAGGAGTTTAGTTGTATTAACATGAAGCCGCGTCCACACCACTACGTAACTCGTATTTGAAAGGTGGTATCGATAAGCCACAGGATTCATGCGCGGATACACCCGGCGTAGTGGAGTAGATGCTGTTCTGGTGCTGGACGGATGCGACAGGTCGCGACCTCGTGTACAGTACCACTTGGAGGGGTTCGATGCTTGCCAGCTGCCACCTTGGCATTTTCAGCCTTGCGCCACCAATTAAGCGTAACGCTGACGGCTCATCCCGATAGGTCCGCTCGGACTTTTTCTCTCAGCTCTCGAAATTGCATGTCCACTTTTGGCCAGAGCTGGAAAATGCCAAGCACTGAACCGCTGGTCTGTGGTCTCATGGCCCGAATTTTCGAGCCAAAATTCCGCCTGACATGGTACACGGCTATGGTCGAAACTTGTGGCGCTGGACTCGACCTTTTTGGTGACTAGGGAAGACGAGGCAGCAGTGGCCTTGGATAGTGCTCGAGGTGAGCGATGGCTTTCGAGTGTGCGAGCTGTCGCTATTGGTACAGTATCGCTGTAATGTGAGCGTGCGACATCTTCCCAGCCATCCTCACAGACCGACTGTTCGCACGTTTGATTCAGCAAACCATCTTCAACAGGACCACGCCGAAACATGAGCTCTTTCAGAAGTTTGACTGCCGATCGCAAGCCTTTGGATGAATTTGAAAGAAGAGCTTCATTATTCGCGGCGACCCAGCGGGGTGCGACAAGTACTGGCATAACACTGGACCTGTTCGAATGGCGCGAAAATGCCGCCCAAGGTGTTGATAAGTGTAATCTGAAGTCTGTGCAAGAGCTCGAGTCGAAAAGCGAGGGAGCTGTCCGTGTGATGTGAGAATGTCCGTTAGCCATAACGTAGTTGCTGACAATGTTAGCTTTGCACCCCGGGATACGCCTGCACCAGGGACAACTGAAGCGCTGGTTGAGCTTTTCGACACATGCAGTATTCCAAGCGCATTCGTCGATGAGAGCTTACGAGCTGTTTCGCAGTCGTTTGCTGCGCGAGAAGATCTGGATGGCTCGATGTGCATATGGTTTCACCTCTTGTGCAATACGCTTGCTATACCCGAGAACACGACCGCGCCCGCCGAAGTAGCTGAAGGTCGGAAGCTGATACAGCCTCCGAGTCGAACACACTTCACCTGGTTGAAGCCAGGTATTGTGCTGAGAATCAGAAAGCCATCAACGATATTGCCCAAGCCAGTGCGAACGTCGACATCAGATAGTGATGATACCTTGGCCGCCATACCAATCAAAGCCAGGGTAGAGCTGGTATGTTTTGGCGCCCCTAGTACGCTGCATGATAGAATCCGAGAACTTACAGTGTCAACCACGTGCGCTGAACTACTCAACGATCCGTATGTGTTGCTGGAGATTGTGTTCGAGGAGATGTATAAGATCCTAGATTGGACTGCCTGGGCCATAGCAGACACGTTTGGACCTTTGGAAACGGTATATCATATCCCTCCAGTCTACTATGTAATACCGTTCATGCTAATGTTCCGTTAGCAAATTTCGGGAATCGCGAGCAAACCGGGGAAAGCAGCTGAGGAATTGCCGAAACACTTCTTCACGGAGCTGCACACCCTCACGAAACATACATTGTATTTGCGTGAGAATTGCGAAGCAGCCTTAGCTACTCTGAACGATCTGTATAGCCATCACAAGGTAGCGACAGGCGAAAGTCCAGAGATGCCGCAAAGGCATACTCGGCAGGCACTCAAATACAGAAAGACCCTGTTCGAGTCGACGCAGCGACGGCTTGCAAGTCTGAATGCGAGGCTTTCGAACATCATCGAGATGTCGTTCAACATCGTCACGCAGGGTGACAGCAAGTTGATGCAGTCGGAGAATCAAAGTATGAAGACTATTGCGGTGATGACGCTTGTGTTCATGCCGCTAGGCACGGTCGCTTCGATCTTCGGTAGCCAGTTCATGAAACTTCAGGATAAACAACCGTATCGCCTTACGGTGTCGCGCGACTTCTGGTTGATGTGGGTTATTGCGATTCCTTTGACCGCAGTGGTCTTGACCAGTAAGTGCAATACCGATGCAGGTCTTTCGAGCGGGTAGACTAACATGGTGTGCCATTAATCAGTCTGGCGGGTATGGTACGCAGAAGCAAAAGCAAGATTGGTAGACGGAGTGGAGAAGGGCGGACATGGCTATGTGGGATGGAAGACACTATTGCGCAGAGTCAAGGCGAAGAAGGGCATATTGGATGCATGAGCACACGCACGGGTCTGAGCGAAGATCGATGACGTAAGGACGGTGGGGCGGCTTCGGGCGACATTTATAGTTACCGTTGGCGTTCCTCACTAGAACACCAAACCACGAGCTCAATGCATGTTGCGAAACCATAGACAAACGTGATGAGACATACCTGTTCATCGAAATTCTTTACGGTTGCATTGCGATACCCGGGTAGCTTGATGGACGCGAGCGTGCCGCTCCGGACCGTTGCGCATCATAGCAAGTTGGAGCCATACTGTTGTCCCAAATCTGCATCGCTTCACTCTGGAAGCAACCCATGCCCGAGGTATGAAATCGAAAAGTTATTGTTATATTTATTTCACCAATGTCTTTTAGAGAAGAGATCATTTCTCAAGGATGAGCATCAATGAATGCGCGACTACCATACCTAGGGCGGCGATCACAAGGCATACGGAAGCAACATCCACATGCGCGATACGGCACGCGATCGGATTGCTCGCCGTCAACACGGCCAAGATCCTCTGCTACCAGTGACTATTGTGTCAACATCAGGAATGCAGCTCTGTCTCAATCGATTCAGTATTATCACGATGATGCCATGGTGATCAGTTAATTTGTGCGACTGGTGCACGATTGGTGAGGTCCAAACCTTGAGCAGAGCACTCGAGTCATTCTTTCCCACGTCTTGGTGAGCTCAGATTGCCACATCCGCTGTCGGTGTCGCAGCACATAAAAAGGTAGAGGCAGCCGTTACGCCCAGCCAAGGCGTGCCAATTAAGAGATTAGAGAACGATAGAACTGATATCAAGTAGAGGCGCGGGACGGAACTCTCCAACGCTGTTGCCAAGACGAGCATGGCCATCCCCTACGGTCGCATTCGATTCCGAGCAACATAACATGCTGTAACCACTGCTGAGACGATATGCGGAGTCGGAATCAAAGATGACCGGCCCGATAGTGCTGCCGCAAGTGCCTGGATGAGTAATCACAAGATTTGCTCAACGGAACTATCACGATGCCCAACTCAGCTCTGCGAGATTCAGGATAAGACCAGTTCTAAGATGAGAGGATTTGTTCTGCTCATGTCAGTCGAGGTCACGTGCTTCCAGCATCTGGGACATCATTCTGTGCATGAATACGAGATCTTGATCGCTTCCCAAGGGTTCATCTCCGCAGCACCGGACTAAACCCCACTGCCTCCCCACATTCACATACTCCCCACGTCCTGCTACAAGTCGCAGTGACGCGAATTCCAGTGCGGTAGTACGCGAACGTTAAAGTTTCCTAGCGGGTTGGCACGGAGCCTTGCCTAGACAGACCAGGCCGCACGGGTCCAATCGAATCACCAACAACTACCACAAATATCCGCGAATACCTCCGAGATGCGGTCCATATCTCATGCAATACTTGGCGACCATCGTAGACAAACATGGCAATAACTAATCTCTACTGTTCCTCATTAACAGCTGTCGTGGCAGAATATTGACTCTCTTACACGTTTTTCTCTTCTACTTTCCCGCCTGTCACCAACTATATTTCACTCTTTGCAAACATGCGTATCTCATCAGCACTCAGCATCGCAGCATCATTGGGCTGTGCAGCTGCTCAAAATCCCATCGTGGGGTTCAACTCTGGCGCCTCCGACGATCAGGGTAATCCTAAGACGCAGGAAGACTTCGAGCGTGAGTTCAGAACTGCGCAGAATTTGGAAGGTGCACCTGATGGAATCAACACTATCCGCTTGTATTCCAATGTCCAATGGGAGACCCAGGATACACCAATCACTGCATTATCGGCTGCAGTTGCGACGAACACAAGCCTTCTTCTAGGTATCTGGGCTTCGGGGACCGACAGCATTGACAATGAGCTCAATGCGCTTGAAGCAGCTCTCGAAGAGCATGGCTCGGATCTGGCGGATCTGGTCGTGGGTATCTCTGTTGGTAGCGAGGACCTCTATCGAGCCTCAAAATCTGGCGAGAGGAATGACGCCGGAATCGGAAACGGACCGGATACCATCGTGCGCTTCATCAGGGAGGCTCGCGCGCGTCTGAACAACACGGCGCTCACAGACAAGCCTTACACTCACGTCGACGCCTGGGACGCCTGGGTGAACAGCTCCAACGCTGCTGTTGTTGATGAGGTCGATTTCGTTTCCGTCAACATCTTTCCCTTTTATGTGGACCCTGTCGACAACAGCATTGAGAATGCAGCTGCTATTTTCAATGGCGCCTTGACTGCCACGGAGCGTGCTGTTGGCGACAAAGACGTTTGGATCACCGAAACTGGTTGGCCATACAGTGGCCCAGCGTGGGCTAATGCTGAGGTGAGTTGCGACTACACAAGACACATGGAAGACATGTACTAACTTGGTAACCTTTCTGTAGTCTACTGTCGACAATGCTGCTACATATTGGCGAGAAATCGGTTGCCGGCTCTTCGGCAGAGAAAACGTCTTTTGGTATACCCTTCGTGACGCCAATCCAGCGAACGAAGTCAAGTTCGCTGTCACCGACGATCTAAGCACCACTCCTCGCTGGAACCTCACCTGCCCTGCAGGCAGCGCGAACTCTTCATTCCCCGCTCCCATCGATGTTGTATCAGCTGTTAATAATGCTACTGCGACTGGTGCAGGGACCTTTACTTCCGTGTCGTCTATTAACTCAATCGCTATGGCATTATCTATGCTCGGTGCTCTTGCCGCTTGGACTTTGTAAATCCCACAGCTGTCTTGAGTATCTGAACACCTTGTTCAAATTCTTCCTTGCTAGTTTGATTTAAATTCTATAGATATCGATGTTTAATCTTTAAGTCTGTACATCTGTGCCGTTGCCAATCTCCTTCTTTACCTGGTCTAACGCAGATGGAGTAAGATGCTACTAGGTGAAGTGAACCTCCCTTGCCATTACGAGAATGGGATGCGCGATGCGACGGCGCCTACCTCGACATGTGGCCGGTTCTCAGAACCACCTGCACCTCTTTCCGCGCCATCAACACAACATCCCCAGGCTGCAACATCCCAACACTGCACCGCTCAACGCTTACATCGCTACTCTACGACGAGATTTATCAACTCACGCCTCTATCGATATCACGTCATCTCCATCTTTCGCTTACTTACCGTCGCAGTTCCAGCTTGAGCCATACAGGCAACAGCGTCTCACGGCGGCGTAAAGGGGAGGGCACTACGAACTCTCTTTACCGCCCACAACATTCACTCAAAGACAGTACTGAGGTATTGGAAGTTGCTTGGTCCAGGGTGCAGTCACAACAAGATCCAGAAGGTCCTCCAGTGACTGATCAGAGTGCGCAGCTGTCGCAGTCCCCAAATGCGGCCTCGCCTACACCCGATGGTCCTTGTACAACTGAACAGGAGCAAACTCACCCCGGCCAACTTAACACGATTCTTCCCGAGTTAACACAAGGACGAGCCCCAGAAGGATATGAAGTTTGTCGGGCGGAATCGCAAGAGCATTCGAATGGTGCACCAGCAAGTAATCCACACGCTATCGATACTAGCGGTCAACACTCCCACCCCAGGAATAGAGCAACGGATTCATTCTCAGCCACTCTTCCTCTCCTGTCTCAGGCGGAACCTCAAACAGTGTCGAGTGGTCCTACCGTCCCTGGACCCAACACGATGACGACGGCCGAGTCCGCCGATCAACACGTATCTCGAGACGATGAACGTAGCACTCAGCCTTCCACAATACAACTGAGCACGAACCCCACAAGTCATTCGAACATCCCCCTCACTATGATACAATACATCACACGACCTCCGCAGCCGGCATGGAACTCACCGAGCCTAGCAGGCCTCTCGATCGATGACAGGGCGAGTTATTTCACCACACTACTTACCAGACCAGACATACCGCCACAACAACGTGAGGCATGGAACGACCCAATTCTCGCCGACCTCCATCCGAACGCCAGGGCCATGTATCTCGCTATGACATCTGCCTGTCCAGATGCAGCGCCTCCTCATCATCGGCTCTGGAACCACCCGTTTCTTGCGCAACTCCCGTATAGGCGCAGGGCCATAGCCATCGCTGCAGACATGACATCATATCTTATGCAAAGAGAATGGGAACAGAATGCCCTACGAAATGCGGCGGAGCAGAGAAGTGCTCTCTGGCCGGTTCGATACGGTGACGTCTATGATAAGCTCAATGAATCCATGATTTCATACCGAGTCGACGAACTGCTACGGCCTTACCTTGACGAGCGCCGCGACTTCGTCCGCATAACTGATCGCATGCTTCTCCAAGCTCGACAAGCACGCGCAATAGCGCTCTTGGATACCACCGCCATGGACGAAGAGATCGTGCATCGCACACAAAGCAGATTGCGACTGCAGGGATGTCGATGCGACGGATTGGAACGTGAAACTACAGACACAGAAGATGGTGAAGCTCCTGTAAGGTGGACGAGAGGCATTCATGAACCTTTACATACGTTCCAGACAAGGCGGAGAGAGTACGAGCCTTTGACTGACCCTGTGTCCTTGTCTGCTCCTGGGATGACTTTTGGTTAGAGGGAATATTCTGGTGGGCTGCCTACCTTCACTTCACTTGGTACTGGAAATTAGCGCTGACGTGAGAAGGGAAGGACGCATTTTGCTTTTTGACTTTCAAGGTGTCGAAACTGTATTACAGAACCCTTGCGTAGCTCTTCCGATTTTTCTATAGTTCTCAAAATCCGTATGAACTCGTGCACTATCTCTCGCAGTCACCAATTCTTATGCCGCCCACAGGGAACCTACATGCTACTTTGTTCCACAATCTGATCCACACATTACTCGAGAAGGCTACACACTTGCGAGTCGACTACCAGTTATGTTGGTTATGGTTCTCCCGTAGCTGTGCATTTACGATGCGAGAGACCAGGGTGTGACGGCGAAGGCACTCACATGCCTATACAGCATCGCGGGTTGGCTATGGTGCACTTCACAGCGTTAAGCAGTTCAACGACTCTTTTGGCAAGTCGATAGCGTCGCTATTGCTGGCTCCTCTCGCGATTTGATTCATACTACGTTCGCTGTACGTACATCGTAGTAGAGCGAGCCGTCACTGAGCATGCATACTAACTACGAAACCATCCACCAAGCACCGACAAGCGAACCACCCACCACAAGAACAGTCAAGACACTTGCGCCAACCCGATCTCTAGTACTGATAGAATCGAAATGAGTAGAACCATCGTCGTTAGGCGCCTCGATTCCAGCGTTTGGATTGCTCTGCGAAATACCACCTCTTTCAGTAGTAGCCGGACCATCCACAGTGGGATAAAGCAGTGCCTGGACTATTTCCAACGCAGCCATCTGTTCACCGACACCAAAGCTGCCGTCATTTATGCCATTTTTCGTCCATCGGAGACCGCACGACACCTGGTCTGCACTAGCATTACACTGTGCTGCAGCCGCCTTTGCTGAGGCTTTAAGCAATGGGTCGATCTGTGAATGCGAACATACGACGTCAGTATATGTTTTACGTGCATTGAGTATAGTCGCAACTGACCTGCTCGCGCGTCCATGGCGCGACGATGGCCGTGTATCCTAACCAGCGGGCGAGATATGCTTTAAAGGAGCGCTGGTCGAGGTTGCACATGCCATTGTTCTCACATGCGACTTCCGTCATGACACCATCCTTGAAGAAGACGTCAAGTCCATTGAGGATGCCTTGAACCCTATCTTTCCATAGCTGATTTTGAGTCTGATTCATGTTAGCAGACGTGCGCCTTTTCAGTAAGCCAAGGCTGTCGTATACGTACAACATTCCACATCGCAGCAGCACCAGAGATGTGCACGCCGGCATTGTAGGTCCATTGAATTTTCTTTATAGAAGTGCAGTTCTCAGAGTCGCCGGTGCCATCGAAGAAATGGAAATCTGAGCTTATGAGTCCGATGGACTGCTCCCACTCCCAAGTCTTTTCGGCCCAATCAGAGTACGTATCGTTTCCAAGATACTTATATAGACGTGCAGCGATATTGAAGAAGCATCCATTAGAGATCGTGTTCTTATAGGTGTATCCGGGATTCGTGAAAAAGATCTGCCACTTGAACCCGCCACCGCATTTCTCTGTATCCCATCGATTATGCTGAGTTTGGAACACGGCTTGAGCGAGAGAGAGCCATGAAGGTCCGTCTTTGACGTCAGGTAATCTATTCTCAGCGGCTGACATGGCGGCCATGCCCCAAAATGCTTGATCGTCGTTTCCAAGGGTTCTAGTCTGATTTGGCGGCATAAAAGCATTGTAGTCCCCAATCTGATGCTGCAGCGCTTGCTCTGTAATAGCATTGTATTGGTCGTCTCCAGTATAATACCAGTAATCGATGAACGCGTTGAACATAGCACCGCATTCCCACCAATAATACGGATCCGGAAGATTACCAGGGACGTCTCCTAGCCTGTCGCCAGTGTAATATTTCCTTAGGTTCTTCGACAGTGCTTTTGCAGCGTTCTTGATCGAGTCTATGAACATCAGCGCTATCCGGAGAAGCCACCGTTAGTCAAGATACCTACCTGGTGAATCGACGTCCAGCTCAATGGCGCATACGCCTGAAAGCGACAAAGTCGAGGCATAGATTACCCCCAGGGCGTATCGAAGCTTCATGTTGTCGACCAAGAAGCTGGAGTGGCGTCGTTTGCGACCGTTCGCAGGATGCGACTGGGATCAAGCGCTAGGCTGGAGCTGATGAATTGACGTGCGACCCTCTAGCACCACGCACCTCAGAAAGCTGATCGGAGTTCTGCGATGGCGCCTCTGGTCTGGTTGGGTGTGCCACTTTCAAAGGTTGACAACAGGAAGAAGGGAAAATCGAGGGCACAACAGGGCATGGCACAAAAAGCGTGAACAAGGGGAAGTCTATATAACATTACCATCCAACCGAGCAAGACTTCCAATCAAAGCGGCAGAACCTATACGAAACCTCTACATGCAGCCACCCGAGTAAGGCATCCAACTGGGCAGTGCAGCCTACCGAGCGGTGCAGGCGGCCAACCGAATGGCCTCGCAACACCACCAGGGCGCGCGCGCACTCAATAACGTGCGCAAGACTGAACCGCGCACTTGAACTTTTGTAATAATGGACCGCTTTTCAGAAGTTCCACTACTATCTGCGCCCTCAGTTTCTTCCTTGAAAGTGTGGGATTTCTGCACGATATCGCTGCAACAACTGCAGCGTCTCCTCATGGCTACCCTGGTACCTATGCGCACTATACCTCGCAGTCCCTCGACCCTCTCATAACTATAACCTTCGCCTTCAGTAATTCATCCAATCATCTTGACCGTGTTGAATTTGCTACCTACGCAGCGTTGTTTGTAAGTCTCCCGCCTAGTAACCAGTTCTTCGTGACCCATCTCTATTCGTATCATGACCTTCCTATAGGTCATCTGTTGCAAACCTCATATAAGCTGTCGCATTAGCTCGTCGCGCTGAGATACTAGAGAATATCGACGGGTTTGCGTCCTGCCTAATATTCAAACCAATTGCGCCTCCGTTTCCTTGTTGTTGCGCGGTGTTCTAGTCTGCATGAGATGTTGTCTCTGTTGCTCATTTCACTGGCCAGCTAAGGCATGACCTTTCCCTTCGAAGTTGTGAGCTGTTTTGTTGTGTGATACAAAAAGGAAAGGTTCCTGCCGAGGAACGTCGCGTAGGGTTAGCCGTGATCCTGAAGGATCCAATTTGCTTTTATCGAAATGCGATGAGAAATGTGGCGTCATGGCCATTCTCCTAGTACCCATGATCTCTGGGCAGGATCGTATTAATCTCACATAATCATTGGCATTGCCTTGGCTTTGAGAACTCGGGTTGTCGTACTTGACTCTATACTACGCTTTTCCATCCTACGAATTCGACAACCTTAACATTGTTACGAACACTCAACGCGCACCGTAGATGAGTTGTTAGAGCCATGAGTATCCGGTTGGAGCGGCTATCTATCCCGCCGCCTACAAAACTGTTCTTGACTCGAAATCCTTTGCTGTTCGCGACCTACACTTCCTTTGTCAATGCATCATCCACGTAACAGCCTTGAAGCTCGCAATTGATCGAGAACAGGTTCTTGTTGTCTGTACATCTGGGGATATCATCGTAGAGATCCTTAAGTGATTCTTCGGGAGTCTTTTCAATCGTCTCTTCTATTCTCTTGATGTTATTCTAACACTCGATAGTTTGAACAACGTAAGGCGAATCTTTGGTGCATTTGATGAAGTGATAGTAACGCATTCTCTAAGTTGCGTGATACCTTCGCTCTATCCGCATATGGATCTTGAAATAGCAATTCACATCGAAAAGTCAACTTCCGTCCCCAATGCGGAGGTAACAGGCGATAAAATAGGCTGGCGACATGGCAACACGACGTAAGCTTATGAGATGGATTGATAGTCATGATTTCTGAGTGTATGGTGATAGATCTGAATCTCGATTGTAGTGACTCTGTGCGAACGCTTTATTCAGCGTGCAGACATTCTTTGTCTTTACTCTATGATATGTGATGCTAATGCAGGAAGCTACATGATAGGTGAGGGAGACTACGCAGATACCTAGCTAAATCAAGGCTTCTCAAACAGGCTTCGACAAAGCTTCTTGTAGCTTGGCTGGTACCAACTTCGACCCACCTACTACTAGACCGATGGGCTCTTCGATACTCCTAGACTCTCGAATCAAAAGGAGGGAGACGTAAGCAGCAAAATCTATCACGATCCAGTTGCATAGTCCCACCTTCACTAGTGAGATAAATCTGTATGACTCCGGAGTGTGTAAGGCAGGATAATGTCTACCAGACTGACTTTCAGTTTGCTCGATTCGCCGAGCACTGCGCGTCCGATGGCGTTGACTGCTTCTTTTGCAGTCTTGGCAGAACTGATCTGATCGAAGTGCTCTATACTATTTTCACTGCTGTCGCCTCGTCTTGCACCTCCAAAATTCTAAGATTCTTGGACTTGATATGCAATAAGGCGTTGCTCCAACCAGTCAGTGATGCTTGCATCGGCCTCTGGGACTCAGCCAATTGTGGCCTGACATTGCGATGCGCTGTTAGTAACGGCGTAATTGAGAGTGGTAAGAATCTAAACGACAGAGATGGTGGGATAACCTTGACGTTTCATGGTGGCGGGCACAGCGGGAGTCTCACTGACAAAGCTAACGTCACCAACGACACCAACATCGATGACGAATCCGGACAGACCTTAGTTTCGCCGATGGTGCATGGAAGTATCTTGGAACGTACATGCAGCCGTGTAATTGACTTACGCAGCATGGCCACTGATGCTAGCAACTGCAGACGAAAGGTTCAATGTCACTGGGCGGGACTTCGTGGGGTTTCCTGGTGCGGGCAACCCTAGGGGCCAAAGAGGCAGGCAGGGACATAGCGAAGTCTCTCAAGGGAAGAATAGGAAGACAATGTAGCGAAACATGGAAGTTCCCAGATCTTGGACATCAATGCGTTAATGTGGAAGCGAGAAGGAGGCACGAGAGACGTAAGCATGGTGATGACCCTTAATCCGACTACTTGCACCTAAGCGAATTAGTAGTAAATGCCTTGCTATACTTGTACTTGCACTCCCAAAACACCCAAACTCCGTAGCTCTGGAAACTGTCTTTCCAGTACAGTAATGAGAACAACATCTGACATCTTGCGCAATCTACTAGGGCATCCTTGCGTCATGTTAACCAAAATCCTCCAAACATCCTCGCAGTACGCAGAGGTCGTACACAACTCTGACGTGGTTGTACACACTAGGACACACCGCTGCGGAATGCCGAGACTTCACTCGTCCTGGGAGATCGCCAAAATCATCTCGTAGCCGGGCGCGGTGACTACCTTGATAGTGAACTGAGTCTTCGTATGCTTGATATCGCCCATGACTCCCTCGTACTTGTCAGATGAGATATCACCACCAGCTGCGTTCAGCGCCCTGACGGCAGCGCCGCGGTCGTGGCCTTTGACCAAAGCCGCATTGTAGTTACCCACCAGTGCCGATGAGAGTCCCTATAGTTGATTCTCAGCATGTCGATCGCTCAGCTATAAGCGTCGAGAGTTCAAGCTTACGAGGGTAAAGTCAAAATTGTGACCATCATCCAGCTTCAAGCGCATCTGTATTCCACCCTTCGGTCTCACACCCACACCGAGGAATGTATTGCCTCCAATGCCGAAACCTCCGGTGCTCCATGCATCGGCGTCGGGCGGGCCATTGATCATCTCCCCGTAGTTCAGGTCGCCGGGTACATAGCTGAGGTGGAATTGGGTTTTGTTAATGATCTTCACCCAGATGCCACCAAAGTACTTCTTGAATACCTCCGTCGGCTTAACACTGTCGGAGCTCGCATCATTCTGTGCCTTTGGAGGATTTAGATATAAAGATAACCAAGAGTTCCACTAATTCGCAGACATACCTTCTGCCGACCCAAAGTTCGCTCCTTGCTCGTAGCAATAGTGGTTTGAAGTTCGATTGCCATGTCTTGGAAAAGAATTGATGTGTCTGTATGTGTGATGCGATTTAAGGTGTACAAGTATGAGTTTTGCTGCAAAGCTTACCCACAAGCATTGCCGACAGGATACACTTACATATATACACAGTTGTAGGTGCAGCACGAAGGGTCGGGCAATCATCTGCCCGCCTTCAACCATCAGCCCCATCTGGGCTCTCGTTCCTCGGCTCTATCGTGCAAGCAATTAGGGCTCTAGACAGATCTCCAAAGACAGATCTGGCCTAGAAATTATCGAAGATGGAAGCGGCGTCTTTGTACGGAGCTGAGCGATGCGGGCGCAAGCTGAATCAGGGTGCGGCCCGTATTCGGCCCTCGCTTAAGCCACTCGCTTCGCCTGGTCGCGCAAACACTTGGGGCTCTAGACGGATCTCCATGGACAGTTCTGGTTTGAAGCTCATCGGGTATGGAAGCTGCGTCCATGTACGGGGCTGAGCGATGGGAGAGGAAGCTGAATTAGGTTGCGGCCCGTACCCATTCCTCGCTTAGGCCGCTCGATTCCCTTAGTCGCGCAAGCCACGCAGGTGAGGCTGACAGCTGTCGGCAGTTTGGCGACCTCTTTTAGGATGGTGTTATTCTTTTAGGTTCGTCGACAACAGTCTAGGCCTCAAGTCGCGTGGACAGAACTCACAACTACGATGTGAACACGCTAGCGATGCATCTGCACTGGCATGTGCCATACAGCTCGAAAGATATGGTCGCCTAGCTGGAAAAAGCCATTCAGTACCCTCAGCATGAGGAGCGTTTTGTATAAGTTCTGCTTCGGCTCGACTTTACAGCTCGTGAGGTGGTACGAAGATCAACTCTTTTGACAAGGCGGCAAGTATGGCAGCCACACCCACAGCTGCGGAAAGCTCCAGCGAAGCTCTCCAGCAGAAGCTCCAAGAGCTTGGATACCTTAACCCACCAAAGATTGCAGGCGAAGACTGCGAGTATATAGTCAACAGTCATGTTCCGAACAAAAAGCCTTTTCGAGGATATTGGCTAGAAGGTATGATACACCTGCTTATTCAATTTGTATATGATAATGACTGTGTAGCTGCTGAACACGAAGAGACAGCTCGCTTCGTGGAACTGTTTAGTATCCATGAAGATAAGCTACCAAATGAAGAGGCTCTGGTGACTGTGAATACTAAAGAAGGGGACGTCGACTTGAATTTCAGTAACATCATTGCGATTGCGGGCGACTTTTACACGAACAAGGAAGGCTACGAGGCGTACTTTCCCATCTCAAACGTTCACGGCTTTGGAACCCTCATACATCCGGAATCGTCCAAAGAGCCTCTTGCCCGCTTCGAGTCGGCGGTCCAGAGCATGTTACGAGACACGGACGGTTACTTGAAGGGAGTCAGAGAGCTCATTACTTCCGAGCACAATGCGCTCAATGCCGCCACGAAAGATGGAGACAACACAGCCACAGCATAGTATGTAGCCAATCGCTATCATTGCTCTTTCTAACCATCTCAGTCATGAGCACATGTCCTACAGCCACGACCACGGACATTGCCATATCCCAACCGACGATGAATATACGAAAATGACACAGACAGGCTTCACCAGAGCTTCATCGGTGTATGCCTGGATCGCTTACACAAACATCGACCACTTTGTAAGTGCACTCGAGTGCCTTGGAGTTGCGAGCTAACTGGACAAGGGTGATTACGCGGTCATGGCGTACTGTGTCGGTCATACTAGCGCCCTCCAGATAGCTCGAAAGGCACGCGACGAGCCTTCAGATGAGGCAAAGATGAAGATGCTTCGCACGGCTTACGTCCACGAGGCTTTCGCAGCCCATTTCCTTACGGACCTGTTCAGCTCAGGGCATCTCCGGGCTCCTCGGCGGGCCTTCCACAACCCGAATTATGTGTCTATGGGGTGGCACGCTGCACGAGACCATGCAGTCTGGGACTTTCAATGTCGATACGTTAGTAAATGGCCCTCGTTTTTGGGCTAAGCTGATGGGAACAGATGCACGACGATGACAGCGCTACCGGCCTCTTGGTTCGCAATGAGCTCGGAGACCAGTGGATCGAATATGGTGAGAGGATGTTAAATAGACTCAAGACCTAGCTGACGAGTCTTAAGGTGACAAACAATTCATGGAGCCACAAGCCTCGGTGAACCGCGCTCGATGGTAGGCGTCGTGCGCATCTCTCGCAAGCCGCGCAAATTGCTAACGATAACAGCATGTATTGCTTGAAGGAGTCAACCGCCGAGGTGTTCCGTGTCGGATATAAAGGCGACAGGCAGATCGAGAATTGGGAAAAGAACAAGAGCTGGTTCAAGGCCATGCAACTCATGCCCCAGCCAATGACCGCTATCGAACCCCAGGACTGGAAGAACAGCGGATGGAGCGGATACGACAAGCACAATCCCGCTCCGCTGTGGATGGCTTTGCATGACAACGTCACGGAAAGCCAATGCACGGTTCGTAAGGACCTGAGCGACCATTCTAACTACGGCGCTCGAAAAACTCAATCGCCAGGCGATGTCGACTATGGCAACACCATAAAGGCTGCTGACTTCGTGGTGAATGGCCAATTTCCGATGCAGATCTCGATTGACGGGTTGCTATCCGGCGGTTTCATGCAGATCCAAGATCTCGACGGCAGCGCCAGTGAGGGCTGCTGCATCAACTTTTGGACCCCTGCTGAAGTCAAGTTTGCGGACAAGACCCAATCGACATTCACCATTCGCAACAGGCTCATTGATCAGGACATCGCGCCAAGCAGAGAGGTCCTGCATTGGATGCGATCCGGCGGGAGGACTGGCATCATCGGATTCACCTACGCAGCGATGGCCGATGGGAGCGGGAATATCGAGATGACGCAGACGGAATATTCATCGGAACCAGGTCCCAATGGGTTCTCCGATGGCACCTGTGCTACCTTCTCACCAAAGCATTCCTGGGCGGTGCGTGCTTCAATGACCAGACACGCGACCATCCTAAGCAGCGTCCCAGCGAACTTTATGCTCAACCTGACTCGCTTTGTTACCGGAAATTTCATCGCCGGGGGAGAGATCGTCGCCGTCTCGCAGTCCGAGAATCAAGTACTGGTTGGAGTACTGGGCGACAGCTTGGTGCAAAGGACGTTGTCTCTACCCAAGGCACCCTACGGCTTTGTCAAGCCGTTTCAAGGTGCCGGTGCCTCCAGACAGAGTATCTTGCTGGCGCGCGCCGGGCCTAAGGAGGACAGTGAGTGGGTGAATCTAGCGAAGATCGACTTTGACGATGCCGGCAACGCCAACCTCGTAACTGCGGACTTCGACCTTGAGCTCGAAGCGGAACAGGACGCATCGGTGCTCGTGGGCGACGTGATGGGCTGGGGCCACGATCAAGCCGTGGTCGTGAAGCCCACACCCGACGACAGGACCACCGTAGCCATCTACGGCCAGCAGAGTGGAAGCCCTGACATCGTGTGCGTGGGACTGCACCAATGCGACCCGACTGTAAGCAGCGAACTTGTAGGCCCTCTGCTCACCGCGCTCGTGCCGTCTCTTCCCTCCTCACCCAAGCCGGTGGGCCAAGACCTGCTCCAGATTTCGCGCCGTAAGAACGGAAAGCAGCAGTTCATCGCCTTCCATACGCATGTAGCCAGCGGAGACCAAAATGACCCTCTCTGCAACTGCGCCGTATCTGAGGTCGATGACGCACTCGCGTCGCGCAGCCCGGAGCACTTTTTCAGCATCAAATGGATGCCAGTACGAGTGCTTGAGCAAGCGCGTGCGGTGCTCGAGGTCTTCAGCTGGTACGGCGTGCTGGGAGTGCGTGTGTTCGCTTGCTCTCACACTGAAGACGGAAGCGTTGGCGAGTGGACATTGCACGGCCAGTTTCCGCATCTGGGCCAGACATCCATAGGCGCTGGGCTGGGGTGCTATGGTGATTGGGGGCATGGATTTGTGACCTGGGCGGAGGAGAATGAGTGGACCGACGCCAACACGTTCAGGCCAGTGGAAAAAGACGACTTGAAATCAGGATGGTGGGGAATGGTGTGGGAAGATTGTGATAGACAAAGTGTACGCGGGTGGGATGTAGAGAGGCGGCCGCTGCGGTAGCTACGCTGTCGGCGCTTGGCTACTATAAGCTCTATCTTGAGGAATATTAGTATACTCAAGAATCGCGCCAACCCAGGCATCAAACGCATAGATACGTTAGTGAGTATTACCATCGATGTTAGTCAACCGCGGTGACTACAATAAGTGTGGTTTCGGAAGTCAGCGCGTCACAGCGTGGGCTGCAGCAGATTTGGCACTCGCGTGTCGATAAAGTCACTTGTATGGCCGTTGTAAGCGTCTGCCTTTACTCTGGCTCGTCCTCGTATGATAATTTGAGAAGGTAAGAGAAAGAGGTAGGGTGAGAGTGAGAGAGCGTAAGAGAGTGGTCGGGTAAGAGACAGAGAGAGTAAGAGAGAGGCTCTGTTGACTCTTGACTTGGTGAAGAAGTCACACTGGCATCCTAGAGCCCGGAGGTAGGTACCAGCGCGATCCAAACATTGGCGAAAGACAGGCCAATCATAAATGGGCCCTGGATCCATGGTTTGATACGGCTCTCTCGCCTCCGAACATATACCCAACACAGGCTCCCCCTTGGATAGCGCTCTAACAAGGACATGCATCTGCTCCAACACGTCGAGGTACGCTAGCAAATTGTCTTCGTCGTAAGCAACCGCAGAGGTGCTGCAGTCGTGGATAGTACGCTTGTTGACTGCTGAGGGTGCAAGTACCATGGAAGCGTGGCAAGTACCAAGGAAACATAACAGGTACCAAGGAACTATAGCAGGTACCGAGGAAGCGTAGCTGCTAAGATAACACATAAATAACATCGTAACCTCCCATAATCCCTATTAACCTACACTAACACAATAACACTCCAACGCAACGCTTTAACGCAACGCTCCAACGTAACACTTCAACACCACGACATACCCAGCGACAAAGATGCCTTGGACCAAAGAGATTATCGCCGCACGCAATGCACTTCTTAGGACGCACTATGGACAATTCAACAACCTCGTCAAGAACGGTCCAGAGTGGACGAAACTCGCGGAGTCTGGACGCGTCTGGGACTCGATCTACAACATCAGGAACAAGGCGCCATGGCTAGCGGCGCAAAAGGAATTGGAGGGAGAGTTGCGCAGATTAGACAGTTTGCGGGAAAAAGTCCACCTAGGTGGCAAGGAGAGATCTCCATTGAACATTCTGCAAGATACTTCAGAGTTTTGCAATAACGTTCTTGCTAATTTCTCCTGGAAAAGCTGCATGATAGAGAAAAACCCCCTGTCTTTGGCGACTGCAAGAACTGTCGAGGCAGCTATACCAAAGATAACGTCAAAGAGCGCGCGCGTATTCGAGGAGGCGATAAAACTTCGCCTACCATCAGCAGAAGAATTGGTGCGATTAGATCACGGTGACACCGCAGATGCAGATCATTATCTGGAGTTACGCAACAATATCGTTGCGACACAAGCCGCATTGTCCAGTGGACATTTAGAACGGGTAATAAAGCCCGAGGAGCTGCTCGAAAACATACGAGCAATATCACGAATACTCTTTCTGGGGACGAAAGTCCATTTCAAGGCTGGCAAGCTACGCACCATGCCTATCCAGGTTCATTCGGACCCCAACACGATCTTCCCGTATCCTCCAGAATTGCGCCAAAATCTCCAATGGTGGTCAGAGTTTGTTGGGGAGGACATCCCCGAAATTCACCCTCTGTTCAGAGCAGCATGGGACAGTTTTTACTACGTGAGCATACATCCATTCCCAGATGGCAATGGGAGGACTTCGCGCATTCTCTTCGCAAGTCACGTCGCCAAAAACGGGATGCTACCCGTCATATGCTCAGAGAGCATTCTCAGAGAACAGTACTTGCAATTCCTGAACACAGCAAGATCTGGGAACCCACTCCCCTGGTGTCAAGATCTCGTTCGGTCGCAGATTGCGGCACTAGAGGGTTCGAATTAGAGGGTATAAGGGGCGAGGTTTGAAACAATATTAAGAACGAGGTTACGTAGCTTGATTAATCTTACCTTATCCCAATATCTTAGTATTTATATCTACCTTCCCTTTTACTTTTACTTCTTATTCTCAGTCTATGTCTACTAATCTCTCTTTTCTTTTCTTCTTTCTATATTCTCTCTTTCTCTCTCTCTCTCTCTCTTTTGCCCCTCCCCTTCTTCTCTCTTCCCTCTCTCTCTTCCCTCTCTCTCTTACCTCTCTCTCTTACCTTTCGAGTTAAAAGAAACTTATTGTACCTAGTATCGAGATATCAAGTGTGCTACACGCGATTTGAAAGGTTGAGCGAAGAATGCAATCACGGTCCTGATGTGTCTGGTCTTGATGGTGATGCGCTGGACGAGAGTGTCTCATCAACTATCCGTCACCTCAAGCTCTGAACCTGCTCATAACATGCGCTCCGCGAGCAGGAAGATAGAATAGAATCATTCTTACTACCAACCTACCTAGTGAAGTAATTCTGAGCTACCCACCTCTGCCGGGTCCGCAACGATCCTGGCCGATGCAGCGCGCTGGTGCAGTAGCGACGCAACCCAAACGGCCCAGACAACTCACATACTTTGCCTCTGCAGTTGCACTCAAGTTCGGCCGAGCGACTGCGCCCACGAAAGCGTATACTCGCAGGCAAGCAACCTTGTTCTTGAATTGCGTTCGTAACTCCCAATACTAAACGTAAGCCATACATACAGTCTCCGCAACGCAGCGAGTATGCCCTACAGCTCTCTCAGCCTTGCGAATAGCATGCGGCACATGTCCCCTCAAACCTAGAGTTCATCATGCCCACTCTGACCACTCAGATCCGGCATAGCCATAATCTTGACCACCAAACTCGTCCAGCCCGTGAAATGCTGCGTGCGCTGTCCTTTACCCGTCTCGGGGTTATATTGTTCCCACGCAAAACCCGTCTCCTTCCAACTCTCATAGACAGTATTGACCAAGTTGTTGCGAAGTTCGGTGTAGATTTTGGTTGCGCGAGCACCATGAGGACCGGGTTGAGTCGCGACGTTCTAGAATCAGTCTAGTTAGTAAGAATGAAAGAGTATGGGAAGACTCAAGAGGTAGTAAGGAGAGACAGCGAGAGGAAGAGACTTACAAGTAACTGCTTAACAGCCAAATAATTAATCGGCATCCACACCGGACCCCGCCAATAATCCTCGGCCGTATGATAAAACTCATCGCTCTTGCTCAAACTCCTGATACCAAACGGACTCCACAGCTCCTCCTCGTCCTCAATCAAATCAAGTACATGGCCCAGCTTATCACTCCCCGTGTCCACGAGGCCCGTCAAAAAGGGAAACAGCGAAATATAGCCCTTGTGGCAAACAAGAGAATGTTCCTCGTAGTCATCAATAGTGGCGTCACAGTACGCCTTGTCCTTTTTACTCCAGTGCAAGTCATCAATGTTGCGGACAATAGCTTCGTCGTAGCGCGCAAACTCGGCCGCGTCGTCTTGTTCGTCGAGGTAGATTGCAATGCGCTTGATTGCGCGCGTCATCATGCCCATCCAGCTGATCAAGTCGACGTGCAGCTCACCAGGGTGTGGTGGCTGCGCGCGAGGGTAATCGTCGAGACCGGAGGTGAGGATGTGCGAAGGTGTGCGTCCGCGCCAACGGTAGCCTTCCTTGGTGGAGAAGGCTTCGCGGTCGTAGCTCTTGATGTCGCCGGCCTGGGTCTTGCGGTACCAGAAGTAGTTGCGCTTGAGCAAGGGGTAGAGCGAGCGGAGGTACTCAAGGGCGGCTTCGCGGTTCGAGAGCTGCATCGAGTACGACTTTTCTTGTTGCAGCTTCTCGCTGCTGGTGTCGGTCTTGATGGCGTCTAGTTTGTCGAGGAAGGACGTGATGACCATGAACAGTGTTGGTGGGTTGGCATAGTGAGGGTACTGGACTTGGAACTCCTCTGGTACTTTGCTGCGGGCCTCGGGGCCGAGAATCTGTTCGCGACCGATCCAGCCATCTTCGTCCATGAGGCTGAACCAACTCTTGATGATATCGAGAGTGAGATCGGCATCCCAGTCGATGACGGGGAGGAGATGGAAACCCTCATCCCACAGGAAACCGCGGGGGAAGAAGGGTCGCGATGGAATGGCGGTAAACAACTCAGACGGTCCTTCGAGCTGGGCTTGATTTCTGCTTCGCGCTTCGGCAGCCTCCTCCCAAAAGCCTTCGCTGTCTTCCTCGTACGCAGGGTCGTAGGATCGATCGACACGGGAGTCACCGAAGAAGTAGCCGATGCCACCAATGAGGTTCGAAAACAGCGACTTGCCAAACTCCTCGTAGCGTTCCTTTACGAAAGGTGGCTGAGGCTTGAAGATGTCCGTGAAGCGAGCCGAGAAGCCTGACGTGACGGAATCGATCTGCTGCGTAAGATGCTCCGACGTAATCTTCTCCGGCACGGACCCAGACGAGAAGATGACGTCGAACTCAAAGGCACCTTCAAAGACCTTCTGCACCAGGTGCATGTTGCCCTTACCGGGTAGATGCTGGATTGTGTAGACCTGCTCTGGCGGTGGTGGGTTCTGCTCGCCGTACTTGGGGACCAAGACGTCGATCTGGCCCTTCATGTGTGCGAACATCATGGCCTTGACCTGCCATACGGCTTCTTCTGGTACCTGTCCGCTGTGCACGAGTGTCCGATCCAATGGCTTCTCGTCGTAGCTGGGGTGTTCATGAACTGGGTGCTTGCCCTTGCCATCCGTGACTGTGAGCTCAAACTCGCCCAGTTCTTTAGTCTGCCCCTTCAAAACCACATCGCCCTCCATGCCAGGCACGGATGGGTCCGCATCTGCGACTTCCAAGTTTCCGAAGCCCTCGAGCGTGTTGTACCAGACGATGGTCGTTCGCAGGTTGGGGCCAGCATCTTCCCGTGGTGTGCCCTTGATCCTCGCACCCCAGCTACCGCCGTGCTCTCCACCGGGAAACTTGATGAACTCGGTGGTGATGTCAATCTTGTTGGCGGGATCGTGGATGGTTTGTCGGCCGCCGCTGCGTACGTCGTATTCGTCCCAACCGTAGCCATCGAGCTCGTGCTGTTCGCAAGTGTGTCTGAAGTCTGCCGGGTCAGCATTGGTGTTCATTGAGTTTCGGAGGTGACAACCTACTGTGCTGCACGCTTTGGTAATCCTCAACCCGCGTCCACATCAACCCGCCCATCAGACTCTTTGGTATGCGTGGCCGGACGCCAAAGTAGAGGTTAGGGCGGTAGGGTCCCCAGAGCAAGCTCGCATTGGTTGCCTTCTCAACTTCTGCGACCTGCGCACCTGCAAAGGGCAATTGGAGGGCGAAAAGGCACGTCAGCCCTTTCCAAAGGGTGCCATGCCGAGATTCGCGCGTCATGGTGTTGTGTAGTGCCCAAGCTGGAGCTGTCTGGAGCTTTGCGGGGGCAGGTTCGGGACACATTTCGCGGAGGTCGGGGGTTATTGGCGCGCTGATTGGCCCATGTGTGGGGGGGGGGGGGGGGGGGCGCGTTTTGGGG